CACTTGTAATCCCACCTACTTGGAAGGCCGAGGCAGGAGGACTGCTTGAAACCAGGGGGTGGAAGCTGCAGTGAGCCGAGATTGCGACAGAGGTACCTGGAGCTACTTGCACCTGGGGCAAGGGCCCAACCTTGACTGTCCCCTGGAAGTGATGGCAGAGGACACAGGTCCAGAATGTAGCCCCCAATGCCCCCGATTCCACTGAGCAGACAACCCCTTCTGCATATTTAGTGGCGATTAATTTTCATTAACCACTGATTTTCAACGAGTCATGAATACTTAGCATCATCTAAGCATTGAAGCATGAATAGTCAGTGACCCTGCGTGTTTGGCATCTGAAGGACTGTGTGGCTTGTTAATATTCCTCATGGCACTATTAGGTCAGGCACGGTAGATCACGCCTGTAAACCCAGCACTTTGGGAGGCCGAGACGGGTGGACCACCTGAGATCAGGAGTTCGAAACCAGCCTGGCCAACGTGGTGAAACCCCGTCTTTACTAAAAATACAAAAATTAGCCAGGTGTGGTGGTGCATTCCTGTTGTTTTTAGCAGAGACAGGGTCTCCCTTTCTTGCTCAAGCTGGTCTTAAACTCCTGGGCTCAAGCAGTTTTCCTGCCTGAGCCTCCCAAACTGTGGGGATTGCAGGTATGAGCCACTGCATGCAGCCTGAGCCTGGGTGTTTAAATGTGTGTGTGTGTGTGTGTGTGTATTTTTTCCTTTTGGAGACAGAGTCTGGCTGTGTCCCCCGGCTGGAGTGCAATGGCGCACTCAGCTCACTGCAACCTCCGCCTCCTGGATTCAAGTGATTCTCCTGCCTCAGCCTCCTAAGTAGCTTGGATTACAGGTGCATGCCACCATGCCCAGCTAATTTTTGCATTTTTAGCAGAGACGGCATTTCACCACATTGGCCAGGCTGGTCTCGAACTCCTGACCTCGGGTGATCCACCCGCCTCGGCCTCCCAAAGTGCTGGGATTGCAGGCGTGAGGCACCACGCCCCGCCATGTTTAAGGATTGATCACGAATCTGGTGCAGCTGGCACAGATGAGTGAGGGCAGAGATTGTATAGGAAAGATGGCAGCAGAGAGGACCCACATCCTGCAGCCGCACCCCAGGCGGAGGCTTCTGGCTCTCGGCGGAGGAAAACAAGTGGCTTTGTGTGCATTTGAGGAAGTGGGTTCTGGAGGATGTTAAAATCGCGCTGGCACGTGAAAGGCAAACAGCTCCAGGCAGGACTGGCTGGTCTGGCAGCGGGCGAGCAGGCGAGGGGCCCCAAGAGTCAGCCTGGACGTCACTGCTGGACACTGGTTGCACCATGTCTGGCTTGGGGTGATGCTTCTTTACCCACCTTGAGCAGGAGTGCAGGGGAGGCGCTGTTATACGCAGACAACATACGATGCTCTCCTTCATCAATCTGTTGGCGTCGGGCGTGGTGACTGATGCCTGTGGTCCCAGCAACTCGGGAGGCTAAGGCAGGAGGATCACTTGAGCCCAGGAGCTGGAGGCTGCAGTGAGCTCTGATCACCAGTGCACTCCAGCTTGGACAACAGAGCAAGTGAGATCCTGTCGCTAAAAAAAAACACATTTTAAAAATTAGCTGGCACTGTGGCTCATGTCTGTAATCCCAGCACTTTGGGAGGCGAAGGCAGGAGTATGGCTTGAGCCCAGGGAATTCAAGACCAGCCTGGGCAACATAGTGAGACCCTGTCTCTCTATTTTTATTTATTTATTTATTTGCTTATTTATTTATTTTTTTGAGACGGAGTTTCACTCTTGTTACCCAGGCTGGAGTGCAATGGCACGATCTCGGCTCACTGCAACCTCCGCCTCCTGGGTTCAAGCAATTCTCCTGCCTCAGCCTCCCGAGTAGCTGGGACTACAGGCGCACGCCACCATGCCCAGCTAATTTTTGTATTTTTAGTAGAGACGGGGTTTCACCATGTTGACCAGGATGGTCTCGATCTCTTGACCTCGTGATCCACCGGCCTTGGCCTCCCAAAGTGCTGGGATTATAGGTGTGAGCCACCATGCCCGGTGACCCTGTCTCTTTAAACTCAGCACACACAAGCAGTACCTGCTGGGCCTTCCTGGTTTACAGGCCCTGGTGTGCCAACAGCTCTCACCTGGATAACCGGACCGAGTCTCCCACTGCCCAGAGGTTCCTCATATTCTGTTCCTCTGGAGTGCAGTGGCGCCATCTCGGCTCACTGCAACCTCCACCTGCTTGGTTCAAGCGATTCTCCTTTCTCAGCCTCCTGAGTAGCTGGGATTACAGGCGCCCACCACCACACCCAGCTAATTTTCGTATGTTTAGTAGAGATGGGGTTTCACCATGTTGGCCAGGCTGGTCTGGATCTCTTGACCTTGTGATCTACACACCTTGGCCTCCCAAAGTGCTGGAATTACAGGCATGAGCCACTGCACCAGGCCAATTTTTGTACTTTTAGCAGAGACGGGTTTTACCATTTTGGTCAGGCTGGTCTTGAACTCCTGACCTCTGGTGATGCACCAACTTCGGCCTCTCAAAGTGCTGGCATGACAAGCATGAGCCACTGCGCCCAGCCCTTCATCTTATTTTCTAAACCTCCCCTCTCCCCTCTTCCATGGAGTCTTGCTCTGTTGCCCAAGATACAGTGCAGTGGCGTGATCTCGGTTCACTGCAACCTCTGCCTCGTGGGTTCAAGCAATCCTCCTGCCTCAGCCTCCTGACTATCGGGATTACAGGCGCCCACCACCACACCCAGCTAATTTTTGTATTTTTGGTAGAAATGGAGTTTCACTATCTTGGCCAGGCTGGTCTCAGACTCCTGACCTGTTGATCCACCTGCCTCGGCCTCCCAAAGTGCTGAGATTATAGGCATGAGCCATTTCATCCGGCCCACAGGGGACTTCTTAAATGTATAAATCAATCTGATTCCTCCCCTGCTCATAGCCTCCATGGCTCCCCATTGCTTCTTACAGGAAAATAAGACTTTCTTCCTGGCCTGCCCATTCGACTCCTGCACCCTAGTCAGGTCCCATAACTCCATCATCACCTCCTTGTTCTGCCACCAACACCCTAAATCTGGTCCACCCCAGGGCCCTTGCACACCCTCTGCCTGGAATGCCCGTCCCCACTGCTCTGCCCAAGTGAACCCCCGTCATCCTTGAGGACCTCCCCGCTCCTAGGTTGCTCAGGTCCCCCATGGACCTGCCTCAGTGGCAATTAGTATGGCTGTCACTAATTGTTAATATCATTAGCAATTTTTTTTGAGACACAGTCTTGCTCTGTTGCCCAGGCTGGAGTACAGTGGTGTGATCATGGCTCACAGCAGCCCCGAACTTCTGGGCTCAGGCTATCCTCCCACCTCAGCCTCCTGAGTAGCTGAGACCACAAGCACATGCCACCCCACCCTGCTAATTTTTTGTTTTGTTTTGTTTTGAGACAGTGTCTCACTCTGTCGTCCAGTCTGGAGTGCAGTGGGGCAATCATAGCTCACTGCAGCCTCCACCTCCTGGGTGCAAGCAATTCTCCTGCCTCAGCCTCCCGAGTAGTTGGGATTACAGGCACCCACCACCATACCTGGCTAATTTTTGTATTTTTAGTAGAGATGGCCTGGCTGGTCTTGGGCCCCTGACCTCAAGTGATCCACCTGCCTTGGCCTCCTAAAGTGCTGGGATTATGGGTGTAAGCCACTGTGCCCAACCTAATTTTTGTGTTTTTTGTAGAGATGGGGTTTTGCCATGTGGCCCAAGCTGTTCTGCTGTATTATTATAGTGAGGACAGGGCTGGCTTGGTCACGGCTGCATCCCCAGCATCTGGCATATAGTAGTTGCTCAGTAAACACTCCTGGGCTGATGAATCAGTGCGACAGTTAACAGGATTGGACTCGGGCGGCCGGTTAGCTCAGTTGCTGAGTGCCTGGTGCTCAGTGCCCAAGGTCGTGGACTCGATTCCGCACCAGCCGGCCCCATTTAAAAAAAAAAAAAAAAAAGATAAGAAAAAAAACAAACAGGATTGGACTCATTCATCTTCTCAGATATTCATCTGTCTGTGCCCCGGGTGGCAGAGGTTGGCCAGGTTCTCTAACCTTTCAGAGATATTTGGTGCCTTCCTTGACGCAGTCCCTTGTGATAGATTCTGGGAGGGCCTGAGATCGTTGGGCAGGGAATCCCCCAATGACCCCGGGTTGAGGGACGTATGAGGTGGGCAGACTGCACCTGTCAAAGTCCTGGGTTCTGATCCTGCTCCATGCTGAAGCTTAACGTCCCTGTCTGTAAGTGGGGAATTGAGACAGCCAGGGCAGTGGACTCACAGTCACTGAGGCGGTCACCACACAGGGAGCTGTGGCCCCACTGTGTGTGTGTGTGAGAGAGAGGGGTAATCTCAGCACCCCCATGTCCTAATAAGGAAACTAAGACTTCACATGGAAAGGCCGGACGTGGTGGCTCAGACCTGTCATCTCAGCCCTTTGAGAGGCCGTGGCAGAGGCCAGGCACAGTGGCTCACGCCTATAATTCCAACACTTCGTGGGGCTGAGACAGGCAGATCACCTGAGGTCGAGAGTTTAAGACCAGCCTGACCAATGTGGAGAAAACCCGTTGCTACTAAAAATACAAAAAAAAAATTAGCCAGGCATGGTGGCTCACACCTGTAATCCCAGCTACTCAGGAGGCTGAGGCAGGGGGATCGCTTGAACCCATGAGATGGAGGCTGCAGTGAGCTGAAATCGCACCACTGCACTCCAGCCTGGGCAACAGAATGAGAGACCCTGTCTCAAAAACAATAAAAATAAAAATAATCCCCAGCGGGGCGGGGTGGGGGTGGGGCGCAGGGCACCTGTCAGAGCCACTCGGGGTTGGAGTGCTTTGCAGTGGGTCTTGCAAGGGGCAGAGGGATTAGCTGGGGGATGAATTTCAATAGTTTGCCAACCTGAGCAACCGTACAGATGCCACCAGGTGTTGGGGGCCACAGGAAGCATTTTGCTCATGGCTAGTGTTCAATGAGTTTTGTTTTCCGCAGGAGCTGCCCAGGGGGCTCCTCAGGCTGACCCCAGACCCTGGCTGGCCAGGATGAGGCATCTCTGGCACCTTCGGCCCAGTGGCACCCTCATTCTGGCCATCGGTGTTTTCACCCTCCTCCTCTTCCTCCTCTTCACTCTGCAAGAGTCACCACCCACCTACGAGGTCCGGGAGCAGCCACCAGAGACCCCCAAGACCCTGGCCGGGCCCACTCCGCCCACCCCCCCAGCCCGCGCCCCGTGCCACGCCAACACCTCCGTGGCTGCACACCCGGACTTCGCGGGGCAGCCGCGGCAGGTTCAGGACTTCCTGCTGTACAAACACTGCCGCGACTTTCCGCTGCTGCAGGACCCGCCCCCCTCTAAGTGCGCGCAGCCGGTCTTCCTGCTGCTGGCGATCAAGTCCTCGCCCAGCAACTACGAGCGGCGTGAGCTGCTGCGGCGCACGTGGGGCCGCGAGCGCAAGGTGCAGGGTTTGCAGCTGCGCCTCCTCTTCCTGGTGGGCACAGCCTCCAACCCACACGAGGCCCGCAAGGTCAACCGGCTGCTGGAGCTGGAGGCACAGACTCACGGAGACATCCTACAGTGGGATTTCCACGACACCTTCTTCAACCTCACACTCAAGCAGGTGCGCTGGGCTGAGGTCACCTGATAGGGGCACCTGTCCTTGTCCAAATGACCACCCCTTCCTGAGGGACCCAGGGGACCATCATGCCCCATTCTGCCCCTGGGCTATCCCCACCAGCCTTGTGACCCAAAGTCGTCTTCTCCTGGGGAAGGCTGAGGGAAGGGCAGCTGAGCTTCCCCCTGGTTACCAGCACAGAGCTCCAGCCCGATGATGGGATTTGAATCCAAGCTCTGCCTCTTACTTGCTGTTCGACCTTGGAGGAGTTCATTCACCTCTCTGTGCCTCAGTTTTCTTACCTGGGAAATGGGATGTGATGGGTCCCACCTACCTCTGGGGCCTGCTGCGAGGTTTACAGGAGATGGCGTTTGTAAGGCGTGCAGACCAGTGCCAGACACCCAACTCAACTTGGCAGTGACAGGGAATACGTCTCCTTGGGTTTGTTGGTTGGTTGGTTTTATGGAGTCTCGCTCTGTCACCCAGGCTGGAGTGCAGTGGTGCGATCTCAGCTCACTACAACCTCCGCCTCCCAGGGTCAAGCGATTCTCCTTTCTCGAGTAGCTGGGATTACAGGCACCTGCCATCACACCCAGCTGATTTTCATATTTTTAGTAGAGTTGGGGTTTTACCGTGTTGGCCACGATGGTCTTGAGCTCCTGACCTCAGGTGATCCACTGCCTTGGCCTCCCACAGTGCTGGGACTACAGGCATGAGCCACCATGCCTGACCTCATCTCTATTTTTTTTTAAAAAAGAACCCATGAGAGATGAGAAAATCCTGCCCATCTGCAGATGAGGAAATGGAGGCTCTAAGAAGCCCTCCTAGGTCCTTGAGTTGAGCAAGACAAGTAGAGACATTTTCAAGGAGGAACAGGGAATTCAGCAGGTTCCTGCTCATAGGAGGTACAGACAGGCCTGGATTTGAGGCCGCTAGGGGTCATTTCTCTGCGGGTGACCTCACTCAATACGGTTTTCTCCGGAGAACCTCTGTTCCCTCATCTGTAAATAAGATTGAAGACCACTGCTACCTCCTAAGGGTGCATTCAGGATTCAAGGTGCACGCCAAGCACACTGCCCAGCAGCAAGCAGATACCCAGCCCGTGTGAGTTACCATGTAGGTTTCCACCATGGTGAGGCTGAGGCAGGTACCCAGCCCGTGTGAGTTACCATGTAGGTTTCCACCATGGTGAGGCTGAGGCAGGTACCCAGCCCGTGTGAGTTACCATGTAGGTTCCCACCATGGTGAGGCTGAGGCAGGAGAATCGCTTGAACCCTGGAGGTGGAGGTTGTGGTGAGCCAGGATCGCGCCACTGCACTCCAGCCTGCACGACAGAGTGACTCTACCTCAAAAAAAAAAAAAAAAAAAAACGCACAGAAGTGTGTGATAAATGTCAGCGTGACAAATATGAACCTAGCACCCATGAAGCTCCAGCACTACGCTGGATGCCGAGGGAGAGATGGCATGGACAGAAGGACAGAGAAACAGGCCCAAGGAGGGAAGCCCAGTGTTTGATTGGAGAGGTAGATGTGAGCAATCACACAGGCCGGGCAAGGGGATCACCTGAGGTCAGGAGTTCAAGACCAGCCTGACCAACATGGTGAAACCAGCTCTACTAAATACAAAAAATTAGCCAGGCATGGTCGTGCATGCCTATAATCCCAGCTACTTGGGAGGCTGAGGCAGGAGAATTGCTTGAACCCAGGAGGCGGAGGTTGCAGTGACCCAAGGTCACATCACTGCACTCCAGCCTGGGTAATAAGAGTGAAAACTCCCATCTCAAAAAAAAAAAAATCTCCCAAAGGCCAGGAGGGGTGGCTCATGCTTATAATCTCAGCATTTTGGGAGGCTGAGGTGGGAGGATCCTTTGAGGCCAGGAATTTGAGACCAGCAATATAGCAAGATCCCATCTCTAAAAAAAAAAATTTGTTTTAATTAGCTGGGAGTAGTGGCACCTGTCTGTACTTGCAGCCACTTTGGAGGCTGAGGTGGGAGGATCACTTGAGCCCAGGAATTCGAGGCTGCAGTGAACTATGATCATGCCACTGCACTCAAGCCTGGGCAATAGAGCAAGACCCTGTCTCAAAAACAAACAAACAAAATTCACACAAATGAGTGTTTAATAACAGGGCCTGGCCAGGCAGAGTTGGAAGGAATAGCAATAAATGTAAATGTAACAATTTTCTAGCATTTCTTGATGCTTCATGAAGCATGGTCTCCATGCGCTTTCCCAGTACTCCTGGAGGCACATGATGAGGCCTGTTTGGAGAGTTGGAAACTGAGGCACAGAGGGGGTTTCCAAAGTAACCCCCACAGAACTGGACCTCAAACCCAGGCTGGACTGTAGACACTTCCTTTCCTGGGCTTACTGGGCTGGGGTGGCCAACAGGGGCCCAAGGCCGATTTCTCCAGCCCTCCAGCAGGCATGCCCTGCCCTCCCTGTCTGCAGGTGCTGTTCTTACAGTGGCAGGAGGTGAGGTGTGCCAACACCAGCTTCGTGCTCAACGGGGATGATGACGTCTTTGCACATACGGACAATATGGTCTCCTACCTGCAGGGCCATGACCCTGGCCACCACCTCTTCGTGGGGCAACTGATCCGCAATGTGGGCCCCATCCGGGTTTCCTGGAGCAAGTACTACGTGCCGAAGATGGTGACTCAGAACGAGCGGTACCCACCCTACTGTGGGGGTGGTGGCTTCCTGCTGTCCCGCTTCACGGCCGATGCCCTACGCCGGGCCGCCCGTGTCCTAGACCTCTTCCCCATTGATGATGTCTTCATGGGTATGTGTCTGGAGCTCGAGGGACTCAAGCCTGCCTCCCACAGCGGCATCCGCACGGTTGGCGTGCATGTCCCGTCGCAGCGCCTGTCCTCCTTTGACCCCTGTTTCTACCGTGACCTGCTGCTGGTGCACCGCTTCCTGCCTTATGAGATGCTGCTCATGTGGGATGCACTGAACCGGCCCAACCTCACCTGTGGCAAACAGAGACAGATCCACTGAGGCAGCATCAGGGTCCCCAGCCTCTGGGCTCCTGTTTTCATAGGAAGGGGTCACACCTTCCTCCCAGGAAGCTATCTTTGTGGTCTGAGCAGAGGGGAGTGCCAGGGAAGGTTTGATGAGTAAATATTCTGGCTGGTGAACTCCTATACATCCTTCGAAACCCACCTGGTATTGTTCCAGCATTCTCCCTGGTTGGCTAAAGGAACTCCAGAAAATATCTGTCTTCTGTTTGTGGAAGCTAATGGTAAAAGTGCCTCTGCTAGGGTTCCAACTGTGAATGCATTCATTCCATTTAGATCAAGGTCCTGCTTCCCAGCTCTGACCTACTTACAAATAGGATACTAAGCAGTGCACGTGCAGTGGTTTAATGGCAGATAAGCTGCGCCCAGTTCCAGGCCAACCAGAAACTCCTGTGTCCACATAGAGCTGACATGAGAAATATCTTTCAGCCCAGGAGAAGAGTGGTTTGGTTCCGTGTGTGTGTGTGTGTCTGTGTGTGTGCGTGTGTGTGTGTGCGTGTGTGTGTGCGTGCGTGCGCGTGTGTGTGTGTGCGTGCGTGTGTGCGTGTGTGTGTGTGTGCGTGTGTGGCAAAGTCTCACTCTGTTGCCAAAGCTGGAGTGCAGTGGTGCGATCTCAACTCATCACAACCTCCGCCTCCTGGGTTCAAGCAATTCTCCTGCCTCAGCCTCCCAAGTAGCTGAAACCACAGGTGCGATCTTAGCCCTTTCCTAGGCCTCAGACTAATCAGAAGGTGGGGGGGGGGGACCAGAGAGGTTGTGGAACAGGACTGCCCCTCCTTGCTTGTGGTATCAAATGCTCTAATAGTGGAGGCGTGGGCAGAGAAGGGAGGCAGATGTCCTTTGAAGGTTGTGGGAGCTCAGAGTTTCTGGGGCCCCCGTTGGGAGTCAGCCCCTATCCCTGTGTTCCCTAATAATTCAGAGAACAGCACTGGGGCTGGAAGCATCTTTAATGGACACGAGGCCAATAAGCATAGGCCCCACTTCCTGGAGAAGGGAGAGATTGAGGTCCTCCAGCGGCCCCCACCCCGGTGTGTTTTATAGATTATGGGGAGACCGAGTGAGTTAGTGACCCCCTGCAGTCCCCAGCTTCAGGCCTCAGTCTCTGGGACTCAGGCTTCACAGGCATTGTGATGGGGCATCCTTGGAGAATACGAAGTTTTGTGAAGACCTGGAGGTCTTTTTTTCATTAAAAGCAATTTATAAGTTTTAACAGAGACAAGTCCACATTCATCCCTAAAAGTTTTGTTTTCCAATAGAAAATACGTTGGAGTCGGGCGCAGTGGCTCATGCCTGTAATCCCAGCACTTTGAGAGGCTGACGGGGTGCGGATCACGAGGTCAGGAGATCGAGACCATCCTGGCCAATATGGTGAAACCCCATCTATACTAAAAATACAAAAATTAGCAGGGGATGGTGGCACATGCCTGTAATCCCAGCTACTTGGGAGGCTGAGGCAGGAATTGCTTGAACCCGGGAGGCGGAGGTTGCCGTGAGCCAAGATCATGCCATTGCACTTCAGTCTGGTGACAGGGTGACTCTCTCAAGAAACAAAAAGGCCTGGCGCGGTGGCTGACGCCTATAATCCCAGCACTTGGGAGGCCGAGGCGGGTGGATCACAAGGTTGAGATTGAGACCATCCTGGTCAACAAGGTGAAACCCCGTCTCTACTGAAAATACAAAAATTAGCTGGGCATGGTGGTGCGTGCCTGTAGTCCCAGCTACTCGAGAGGCTGAGGCAGGAGAATGGCCTGAACTCAGGAGGCGGAGGTTGAAGTGAGTCGAGATCGCACCATTGCACTGCAGTCTGGAGACAGGGTGAGACTCTGTCTCAAAAAACAAAACAAAAAAAAACAAGGCATGGGGCAGTGGCTCACAGCTGTAGTTCCAGCACATTGGGAGGCAAAAGTGGGAGAATCACTTGAGCCTGGGAGTCCCGTATCTCGTCTCTATATAAAATAAAAAATTAGCTGGGCTTGGTAGTACTCACACACCTGTAGTCCCAGCTACTCGGGAGACTGAGGCAGGAGGATCACTTGAGCCCAGGAGTTGGAGGCTGCAGTGAGCACTCTAATCTGGGCAGCAACAGAGTGAGACTTTGTCTCCAGAAAATGGAAACAAAACATGGTGTGGGTGAGGCAAAGACTGCAGGAGCTTCTGTCAGGTTGATCTGACCTCATCCCACCCACCCCTGCTCAGACACCCTTCACAGCTCCCTATTGCTTTCGGCTCATATCCCCAAAGACAGATTTTTCTTTTTTTTCTGAGACAGAATCTTGCTCTGTCACCCAGGTGGGAGTGTAGTGGCACAATCTCAGCTCATGGCAACCTCCGCTTCCTGGGTTCAAGCGATTCTCCTGCTCAGCCTCCCGAATATCTGGGATTAGAGGTCACAGGTATGTGCCACCACGCTCAGCTAATTTTTGTGTTTTTGACAGAGACGGGGTTTCACCATGTTGCCCAGGCTGGTCTCAAACTCCTAACCTCAAGCGATTCACCTGCCGTGGTCTCCTAAAGTGCTGGGATTACAGGCCACAGTGCCTGGCCAGCCAAAGATGGATTCTTGCTTCCAGCTTGTCGGCAAACTCAGGAGTGGGAGGTAAAGGGGTGAGATGCTCTTGGCTGGATTGGTCACTGGGCCCACCTCAGCCTCCTGCTTTCAGCAAGGGCATGACCTCGGCTCACTGCTACCTCGGAATCCCATCCCAGCCACCAGCAGCCTCCCTCTCCTCACCAGGCTTACCTGCCCTGATTGGAACTTCGGATCTGCTGATCTCGCAAGCTCAGCCTTTCCTCCTCTCCTCAAGTATTTATCGTGCACCTACTGTGTGCTGCATGCCTTGCCCTGTGCTCCTCCAGCTGATACCCAACTTAAAGAGAGGAAACAAACCTGAAAATGATCAAATGGGAGGTTCCAGAGAGCAAACAGTTTTCAGCAGAAGATTTTATTATTTTATTTTACTGAGATGGAGTCTCGCTCTGTTGCCCAGGTCGGAGTGTAGTGGCGCAATCTCGGCTGGCTCACTGCAACCTTCACTTCCTGGGTTCAAGTGATTCCCCTGCCTCAGCCTCCTGAGTAGCTGGGATTACAGGCACCTGCCACCACACCTGGCTAATCTTTGTACTTTTATTAGAGATGGGGTTTCACCATGCCGGCCAGGCTGGTCTCAAACTCCTGACCTCAGGTGATCCACCCGCCTTGGCCTCCCAAAGTGCTGGGATTATAGGCATGAGCCACCGCGCCTGGCCTTGATTTTATTTTTGAGACAGAGTCTCACTCTGTTGCCCAGCCTGTAGTACAGTGGTGTGATCTCAGCTCACTGTAATCTCTGCCTCCTAAATTCAAGTGATTCTCATGCCTCAGGCCTCCCGAGTTGCTGGGATTATAAGCATGTACCACCATGCCCAGCTAATATTTGTATTTTTGGTACAGACAGGTTTTCACCATGTTGGCCAGGCTGGCCTCGAACTCCTGGCCTCAAGGGATCCACCTGCCTCAACCTCCCAAAGTGTTGGGATTAAGACATAAGCCACTGCACCAGCCTTAGCAGAATTTACATGAGGCAATAGGGCCGGACACAATGGCTCATGCCTATGATTCCAGGGCTTTGGGAGGCCAAGGTGGGAGGATCACTTGAGCCCAGGAGTTCAAGAGCAGCCTGGGCAACACAGCAAGACCCTATCTCTACAGGAAAAAAAAAAAGCCAGATATGGTGGTGCCCACCTGTGGCCCTAGCTACTTGGAAAGCTGATATGGGAGGACCACTTGAGCCTGGGAGGTTGAGGTTGCAGTGAGCCAGGACCATGCCACTGCACTGCAGCCCAGATGAGAGGGAGACCTTGTTTCAAAAATAAAATGAGGCCGGGCACGGTGACTCGCGCCTGTAATCCCAGCACTTTGGGAGTCAGACGCAGGTGGATCACCTGAGGTCAGGAGTTTGAGACCAGCCTGACCAACATGGTAAAACCCCATCTCTACTAAAAATACAAAAATTAGCAGGGTATTTTGTCACGTGCCTGTAATCCCAACTACTCAGGAGGCTGAGGCACGAGAATTGCTTGAACCTGAAAGGTAGAGGCTGGAGAATCACTTTAACCTGGGACAGGAAGGTTGCAGTGAGCTGAGATCATTCCACTGCACTCCAGCCTGGGTGACAGAGTGAGATTCTGTCTCAACAAAAAATGAGCGGGTGGGTGGCTCAAACCTGTAATCCCAGCACTTTGGGAGGCCAAGGCAGATGAATCACTTGAGACCAGGGGTTCCGGACCAGCCTGGGCAACAGAGCGAGACCCTGCCTCAAACGCCAATCACTGTGTTTTGCCACGATCATTTTCAGACATTTGTGTCTAGTGTCTACCATTCTAGGTCCTCAGGGCTCAGGATTCCCATGGGCCTTGGTAGAGACCTTGGCTCAAGTCCAACACTTAACCCTTCCCACCCCGTCTGACCTTGGCAAGCAGCCGTCTCCCTGGGCCTCAGTTTCCCCACTTTGCATAGCAGTGCCTCTCCAGATATCACACTCCTGGAAGTGCCCGTGGGTCTGTGGCTGCTAGGGGACAAGCCCACATGGGACTAACTGAGGATTTTCTATGGAAAATGCAGAAAGCTGCTTCGCGTTGTTTATTTACTAGGAGACAGCAGGAAGGGGTGTTACACATGCAGGGAGCAGAGCATCAGGCTCCTCCGGAGTGAGGACATTTGGCTCTCAGTGTCCAGCATCTGTGAAAGCGGGGATCCCCCAGGCCAGAGCTACGGTATGATTTATTCTACAGTTGACGCCACAGGCTGCAGGTGGCATTGGTGTGGGGTAGATAGTGAGCATCTCGTCCCCGGAGGTAATCAACGATGTTCCTGCAGATGTGGGACTTTATGGTGCTGTGTGGTCTTAGGAGCTCAGCAGACCAGACCCCTCGGGGCCTTAGGCCACTCTGAGGCTGCACCCAAGGAGGAATCATCAGGGACAGAGGGTCAGCAGGTCTTGTTGGCTACAGCCACTGAGGCAACAGTAGCGTGCAGGGTTGCTGGCAGCTGCACGGCGGTGGCGATGATGGTGAGAAGTCTGGGGCATGGGCTGCAGTCCAGGTCCTCCCGGCGCAGGCTCACTGTTGGCCACCAGTCCATAGAGTAGATGTCGTCTCTCCAGCCACTGCAGCAGTTCACCTGGGCACAGAGCAGAACTCAGCCAGAACCAGGACCACAGAGGACACCACACCCCCTGCTGCATGTGCACAAATCCACACACTCACGTCCCACTGACTGACCCACGGAACACTCATCATGCATGCAAATAAAAAGTGAGCATGGTGGCTCACGCCTGTAATCCCAGCACTTGGGGAGGCTGAGTGCGAAGATCACTTAAGGTCAGGAGTTCAAGACCAGCCTGACCAACATGGTAAAACCCTGTCTCTACTAAAAAATACAAAAATTAGGCCCGGCAAGGTGGCTCACATCTGTAATCCCAGCACTTTGGGAGGCTGAGGTAGGTGGATCATGAGGTCAGGAGATCGAGGCCATCCTGGCTAACACGGTGAAACCCTGTCTCAACTAACAATACAAAAAAATCAGCCAGGTGTGGTGGCGCGTGCCTGTAGTGCCAGCTACTCAGGAGGCTAAGCCAGGAGAATTCCTTGAACCTGGGAGGTGGAGGTTGCAGCGAGCCAAGATCGCACCACTGTACTCCAACCTGGGGAGACAGAGCAAGACTCCATCTTGAAAAAAATAAAAATTAGCCAGGCGTGGTATCAAGAGCCTGCAATCCCAGCTACTCAGGAGGCTGAGGTAGGAGAATCGCTTGAACCCCAGAGGTGGAGGTTGCAGGCAGCTGGGATTGCACCACTGCACTCCAGCCTGGGCTTCAAGAATGAAACTCCTCAAAAAAAACAAGTGAGCACTTATTAAACACCTACTGTATGCCAGGCACGTGGTTAATCATCACATCCACTCAACTCATGTCCACACTCACGTCCCCAGCTGCATGCACCCCCATATGCCACCTGTGTACCCCAAGCCCTGCCCAAGGAATATCAGGGATCTTGGAGCTGCAGATGGTGTCAGTTTCCTCAATAAGTCCAAGGGTCCGTGAGGCACCCAGAGCAGGTCAGAGACCCACCCACAGACTCCTCATGGCACTGAGAGATGCAGGGGTGTGCGTGCGTCTGTGGGTTCACTTCTTGGTCACCCACGCATGCATGGTGGACCCACAGACGTACACACACCACTACGTGGACACACCCTGGTAGCCCCCCTCCTCTGGATCCCTACCCCCCTCATCAGAGTGGCTCCTAGAGGCATGTGGACACACTTTAACACATCTGCACAAAGCTGTCTTATATACCTTCACCAGGGCCAGGACTAGGGTGGGCAGAATAAGGCACAAAGCCATCGGGATTTTTTTTCAGACAGAGTTTCACTCTTGTCACCCAGGCTGGAGTGCAGTGGCATAATCTCTGCTCACTGCAACCTCCACCTCCCAGGTTCAAGTGGTTCTCCTGCCTCAGCCTCCCACATAGCTGGGATTACAGGTGCGCCACAGCACGCCCAGCTAATTTTGTATTTTTTCTTTTTTGAGATGGAGTTTTGCTCTTATTGCCCAGGCTGGAGTGCAATGGCGTGATCTTAGCTCACTGCAACCTCTGCCTCCCGGGTTCAAGCGATTCTCCTGCCTCAGCCTCCCGAGTAGCTGGGATTAGAGGCATATGCCACCATGCCAGCTAATTTTGTATTTTTAGCAGAGATGAGGTTTCTCCTTGTTGGTCAGGCTGGTCTCAAACTCCCAACTTCAGGTGACCCGCCCCCCCCACTCGGCCTCCCAAAGTGCTGGGATTATAGGCTTAAGCCACTGCAACTGGCTTATTTATTTATTTTTTTGAGACAGAATCTCAAAAAAGGAGGTGGAATTTGCAGTGCAATGGAGCAATCTCGATCTCGGCTCACTGCAACCTCCACCTCCCGGGTTCAAGAGATTCTTGTGCCTCAGCCTCCTGAGTAGCTGGGATTACAGGCACACACTACCACACCTGGTTAATTTTGTATTTTTAGTAGGAACGGGGTTTCACTGTGTTGGCCAGGCTGGTCTCGAACTCCTGACCTCAGGTGATCTGCCCACCTTGGCCTCCCAAAGTGCTGGGATTATAGGCGTGAGCCATTGCTCGTGGTTTCATAAGTTTTCAGTTGTGTGCTGTTCTGAGTAGCGCTGTGAAATCTCACACTGTCAAAGGGGACGTGAGTCTGCTTTGTCTGCCATAGCCACACTGTTAGTGCTCCCTGCCCATCCCTGTTAGTTACTTAGCAGCCGTCTTGGTGACCAGATGAACTGCAGTGTTATCTCAGCGCCCCGTTCAAGTACTTCTTTTACTTCATCATGGCCTCAAAGCGCGACTCAGATATTACAGAGAAGACACCAAGGGCTTCCTTTGAGTGAAAAGGTGAAAGCTCTCAACTTCATAAGGAAAGGGAAAAAAAAGTACTTGGTGGCCAGACGTGAAATCCCAGGCCCTTGGGAGGGTGAGACGGGCGGATTGCCTGAGCTCAGGAGACCAGCCTAGGCAATATGGTGAAACCCCCATCACTACTAATATACAAAAGTTAGCCAGATGTGGTGTGTCTATAATCCCACCTACTCTGGAGGCTGAGGTGGGAGGATCGCTTGAGCCTGGGAGGTGGAGGCTGCAATGAGCCGAGATTGCGCCACTGCACTCCAGCCTGGGTGATAGAGCGAGCTGTCTCAAAAAATATAGATATTAATAATATTATGTTTTCTTTCTTTGGGACAGGGGGGTCTCTGTCTCAGGCTGAGTCTTATATTGCCCAGGCTGGTCTCAAACTCCTGGCTTCAAGTGATCCTCCCTCCTCAGCCTCCTGAATAGCAGGGATTACAGGCAAGAGCCACCATGTCCAGCAAGCTAAATATTTTAATGCAATACTTTTAAAACCAAATTTTAAATACTTGTAGAAAGGCTAGGCACGGTGGCTCACACATGCAATCCCAACACTTTAGGAGGCTAAGGCGGGCAGATCACTTAGGTTCAGGAGTTCAAGATCAGCCTGGCCATCATAGTGAAATCTTGTCTCTACTAAAAGTACAAAAAAAAAAAAAAAATCAGCTGAGCATGCTGGCAGGTGCCTGTAGTCCTAGCTAGTTGGGAGGTTGAGGCAGGAGAACTGGTTGAACTCAGGAGGTGGAAGTTGCAGTAAGCTGATCTCATGCCATTGCACTTCAGCCTAAGTGACAGAGCAAGACGCCACCTCAAACAAACAAAATACAAAAATTAGCTGGGTGCAGTGGCACGTACCTGTAGTCCCAGCTACTCCAGAGGCTGAGGCAGGAAAATCACTTGAACTCAGGAGGCAGAGGTTGCAGTGAGCAGAGATCGTGCCACTGCACTCTGGCTTGGGTGACGGAGCAAGACTCTGTCTCAAAATAAATAAAATAAAAACCTTTTCAAAATCAATACTTTTATTTATTTATTTTGAGTCAGAGTCTTGCTCTGCTGCCAGGCTGGAGTGCAATGGTGCAATCTCACCCCTACTCCCAGGTTCAAGCCATTCCCCTGCCTCAGCCTCCTGAGTAGCTGAGACTACAGGCACCCACCACCAAGCCCAGCTAATTCTTTGTATTTTTAGTAGAGACGGGGTTTCACCATGGCTAGGATGGTCTCGATCTCCTGACCTCGTGATCCACCCACCTCGGCCTTCCAAAGTGCTGGGATTCCAGGCGTGAGCCACCGTGCCCAGCCTAAATACTTTTAAGGCTGGACACAGTGACTCATCTCTATTTCCAACACTTTGGAAGGTCAAGGTGGGAGGATCACTTGAGCCCAGGAGTTTGAGACCAGATCAGGCAACACAGTGAGACTCCTTCTCTGCAAAGAAGAAAAAAAGTTTGCTGGGCGTGGTGGCAGCACCTGTATTCCAGCTACTCCAGAGAATGAGGCAGGAGGATCGTTTGAGCTTGCAGTGAGCCGTGATCGCATCACTGACCTCCATCCTGGGCAGCAGAGTGAGACTCTGTCTCAAAAAACAAAAACAAGAAGCAAAATTAGCGCAAAAATTCATGAAGATCAAAATATAGAAATTTTGAGACAGGATCTCACCACCTACTTGCAAGAGCCTACCTCTCCTGCCTCACTCTGTTTCTGGTCCCACAGGGGACTCATGCCCCTGGAGACTTTCACATGCGCGCGCACGCACACACGCCAGTGGGGACCCACGATCTGTGCACGCAGCCAGCAGGTGAGCGCCGGGCACACGCTTGCAAGCCCGCCCACCTGCCCTCCCCGTGTGCACCTGCGTCTGCCTTCACCTGCTCCACCTCGGCTTCCCAGAGCGCTGCCCCCGCCGGTCCCCACTCACCGTCGCCGGCTGCCACAGGCCTCCTGGCCTCCGTGGACCAGAGGGGGCCCCCGCACACGCGCACCAGCGCGCGCACGAAGTGGTGGCCGCACAGTTTCTCACGCATCTCTGGGGTGGGCGCGGGGCCCAACGCGAACACCAGGGCGGGGCCCAGCAGCACCAGCGCCCAGGCAGGCAGTCGGGGATCCATGGTGGTGGGTGGCGCCTGGGCCAAGCGGGGACTCGCTTTATAGGCTGCTGGGCCGCCCCAGCTGGGGGCCTTGGAGAAGGGACAGAACATTCTTCAGGACCGCCCAGGAAGAAGGTCAAGGGTGGGGTTAGTGCCAAGGCCTTTCTCCCAGGGCTAGGGCCTTGGATGTACCTCCCCCAGAGGGAGCACTGGGCAAGGAGTCTTTCTTTTTTATTTTTTTCTTTCTTATTTTATTTAATTTTTTTTTCATGTTCAGTCTTAAGGTTGTACCTGAATCTTTTTTTTTTTTTTTTTAATTTATTTTGTTTTTAAAGAGACGGGGTCTCGCTATGTTGCTCAGGCTGGAGTGCAGTGGCTATTCACAGGCGCGATCCCACTACTGATCAGCACGGGAGTTTTGACCTGCTCCACTTCCGACCTGGGCCAGTTCACCCCTCCTTAGGCAACCTGATGGTCCCCCGCTCCCAGGAGGTCACCATATTGATGCCAATACTCCTGGGCTCAAGCGATCCTCCTGCCTCAGCCTCCCGAGTAGCTGGGACTACAGGCATGACCTTGCCCGGCTCTTTTTAATTTCTTAATTTTTTTTTGTTTATTTTATTTGAGTTTATTTTTGAGCCAGAGTTTCGCTCTATTGCCCACGCTAGAGTGCGGTGACTCCATCTGGGCTCCCTGCAACTTCAGACTCCTGGGTTCAAGCAAGTCTCCAGACTCAGCCTCCAGAGTAGCTGGGATTACAGGCACGTGCCACTCTGTCCAGCTAATTTTTTTGTATTTTTAGTAGAGACGGGGTTTCACCATGTTGACCAAGATGGTCTCGATCTCTTGACCTCGTGATCCATCCGCCTCGGCCTCCCAAAGTGCTGGGATTACAGGCATGAGCCACCGTGCCCGGCCTTGTATTTTTTTTTTTTTTAGTAGAGGTGGGGTTTTGCCATGTTGGCCAGGCTGGTCTCCAACTCCTGACCTCAAGCGATCCGCCTGCCTTAGCCTCCCACAGTGCTGGGATTATAGGCATGAGCCACCACACCCAGCCATTTTAAAATTTTAACTGTATAGACGGGAGTCTTGCTATGTTGCCCAGGCTCATCTAGAACTCAAGTGGTCCTCCCTCCTCGGCCTTCCAAAATGCTGGGATTACAGGTGTGAGCCACCATACACAGCCAAGTCTTTGCTACTGTCTTCACCATTTTGAAGAAATGAAATAGTCAATTGAAAAATAATAATCCTGCATTTTCTGGGTGGTAGGAGGGAAGACAGCAGGCATCTTCCAAGCCCAACAGTGTTCAGAATTTTGTTGCTTTTTTTTTACTGTACAAATAAGAAAACAGGCACAGAGGCCAGGCGCAGTGGCTCATGCCTGGAAATCCAGGCACTTTGGTAAACTGGGGCAGGCGGATCACTTGAGGTCGGGAGTTCGAGACCAGCTTGCCCAATGTGATGAAACCCCATCTCTACTAAATACAAAAATTAGCTGTGTGTGGTGGCGCATGCCTGTAATCCCAGCTACTCGGGAGGCTGAGGCAGGAGGATCACTTGAATCCAGGAGCAGAGATTGCAGTGAGCCAAGATCACACCACTGCACTCCAGCCAGGGGGACAGAGTGAGACTCCATCTCAAAAAAAAAAAAAGGAAAAAGAAAACTGAGTCACAAAGAGAGGACTCTAGACTTGCCCAGTCACAGGAGACCAAGAAGAGCCAGGTCTTCTTAAGACGCCTGACACACAGGGCTGGGGGTGTCCCGTTGGAAGCTCTGCCTCCCCAGCACGGCGGTCCCTTCTGGGTGAGCAGAGGCTGATGGGGACCCAGAACAGATCAAGGTTTATTAGTTCAGCATCTGCTTGGCCCCAGCTTTGTGCCTAGGGGGTCTCATGGCTTTATTTTACCAAGCAGTGAAACAGGCTGAGAGAGGGAAGGATGCTTGACCAGAGGCAGGAGAGAACCTGGGCTGGAATTCGGGTCTTGCTTGACCCCCGGCAGGGGCCTCCCCCTTTCTACCACATTGGGTGCTCTCTGGGTATCTCTCTCCCCATCTTTCTTTTTTTTTTTTTTTTTGCAACGGAGTCTTGCTCTGTCACCCAGGCTGAAGTGCACTGGCATGATCTCAGCTCACTGCAACCTCTGTCACCCAGTTTTAAGCAATTCTGCCTCAGCCTCCCGAGTAGCCGGCATTACAGGCATATGCCAGCGCACCAAGCTAATTTTTGTATTTTTAGTAGAGACAGCGTTTCGCCATGTTGGCCAGGCTGGTCTCAAACTCCTGACCTCAAGTGATCCTCCTGCCTTGGCCTCCCAAAGTGCTGGGATTACAGGCATGAGCCACTGCACCTGACCATTCTCCACATCTTTCTAGCAGTTATGAGGTGCACACGGCTGGGAGTGGCCTGGCCCCAGTGATATTGGTCCCCGCCCCACAGCCTCGCCTCCCCCAGCCTGGCCTTGTCCTCTGACCACCCAGAGAGCAGCCTGTTTCTTCCCCACCCACAGAGAGCCTGTAATCAGCTCCCCCAGGCTGCAGCCAAGGCCAGCAGCTGGGGCTAGGAGTGAGGGGGCGCTGTCCTTGAGGGTCCCAGCCAAGCCTCACCCAGCGGTCCTCTTCCACCAGCCTGCCCTGAGGCCCCCACCATGGCCCCTTGAAAGGTCTCTGGCCCACAGCCCTCCATATCCCTCCTAGCTCACACAACCTCTCAGGTTCCCCATTGCCCCAAGTTGAGCACAAACCATCTTTTCCATTGAATTTCTTTATTCAGTCAACAAACACTCCCACAGCCGCCTCTGTGCCGAGGCCTTGGCCCAGCCCCCAAGTAACCCCAAGGCCAGGAAGGACAGCTGGACACAGACACTTCCCCAGCCCCAGGGTCAGAGAGGGGCTGGAGGGAAGGACAGGGCTGGAATAGTGGTGGGGGAATGTGAGGGAAGGCTGCAAGGGTTTTAAGAGATGGATAAAAGTTTTCTAAGGAGGCAAAAGTGGCGGAAGAGCTTTGCAGGTTGGTGAGGAGGAGCTAAACCTGCATGAGAATCCCTATCACCAGTCAGAAAGTTGACCCTGCCCAGCCAAGGGGTAAGCTCTGCCCATTTTGCAGGGGACAGAACTGAGACCCAGAGAGGAAAAGGAACTTGCCCACCATCATACAGCGCAGAAGTGGCAAAACCCTAGGCTTCAATACCTGGGCTCTTAACCTCCTTACTCAGCCTTCTCATGCTTGGCATGCTGTTCCCTCTGCCAGGAACGTCTTTCCTTCCCTCGATTGCCTGAAAAGTTCCTGCCAGGTTCTGTGTCATCCCTTTGTGGCCCTTGTAGGGTGAGGACAGAAGGGGTCCCATCAGACAGATGAGATAACTGAAGCCCTGGGACAGGCAGGTTCCATGAGGGTGGACTGAGACTCCAGCCTCTCCTGCCTCCTTACAGAACCCCCAACGGATACACGAGCTCCCCCAAAGAGCAGAGTTCCAGCCACGGCAACTGCTCTCATCCTTGGCTTCCTCCAGAGAAACAGACACGGGGGAGCAAAGTCAGATCAGATATTTAAAGCCACACTCATGTCCTCATTGGAAATAAGACTCAAAACTGGGTGCCTGTAGTCCCAGCTGAGGCAGGAGGATCACCATAGCCCAGGAGTTCGAGACCAGCCTGACCAACAGAGCAAGATCCTGTCTCTTAAAAAAATAATAATAATAGGCCAGGCACGGTGGCTCATGCCTGTAATCCCAGCACTTTGGGAGGCTGAGGTGGGCAGATCATCTGAGGTCAGGAGTTCAAGACCAGCCTGGCCAACATGGTAAAACCCCCATCTCTACTAAAAATAACAAAAGTAGCTGGGCGTGGTAGCTCACACCTGTAATCCCAGCTACTCGGGAGGCTGAGGCAGGAGAACTGCTTGAACCCAGAAGGCGGAGGTTGCAGTGAGCCGAGGTCGCGCCATTGCACTCCAGTCTGGGCAACAAGAGTGAAACTCTGCCTCAATAATAATGATAATAATAAATTTAGAAAAAACAAAAACCCGGGCACAGGGGATCATGCCTATTATTCCAACATTTTGGGAGGCTGAGGCAGGAGGATCACTTGAGGTCAGAAGCTCAGGATCAGCCTAGCCATCACGGTGAAACCTTGTTTCTGCTAACACTACAAAAACTAGCTGGGTGTGGTGGTGCACACCTGTAATCCCAGCTACTCGGGAGGCTGAGGCAGGAGAATCGCTTGAACCTGGGAAGCAGAGGTTGTGGTGAGCCAAGATCGCAGGGTGAGACTCTGTCTCACAGAGAGAGGGGGGCGCGGGGAGAGAGAGAGAGAGAGAGAGAAGGAAACTCAGAGGGCCAGGGCTTGAGGGGATGGGAAGATGGGAGGGACTTAAATTTGGTTCCCTGTGTCTTCAAGCCAGAGACCCCACTGACACATCTGCCCATCTGTCCTGAATCTTAACAAATCCAAAAGGCCACAGCCATTCCACAAGCCACAGGAACCCCCGAAATGCAATTTCATGGGGGTGTTCCTGAAGTAGAGGACCCTCACAAGGCCCAGAGAGGGGCAGCTCCCTGCCTAAGGTCACACAGCCAGTCAACAGAGACCTAATCCAGAGGTCTGCAGGACGGAGAATGGGTGAGCAGGGAAGGTGGGAGTCTCACACCTCCGGCTTCGACTCTACACACAGCATGTCCAGCTGGGGGCCCAGGGCGCTGAATGACGGCCGGTCCTGTGGGCTAGTGGCCCAGCACAGCTTCATGAGCTCGTGAACCTGAGGGGCAGAAGACAGACAATGAAGTCATGCCTGAGCAGTCAGAAGGACACAACTCCCACTCAGTTTATCTGTTTTTTTGTCTAGCTCTGTGGCCCATGCTGGAGTGCAGTGGCACAATCTCTGCTCACTGCAACCCCCCCCTCCCGGGTTCAAGCAATTCTCCTGCCTCAGTCTCCTGAGTCACTGCAATTACAGGCACATAGCACCATGCTCAGCTAATTTTGTATTTTTAGTAGAGATGGGTTTCACCATCTTGTCCAGGCTGGTCTCGAACTCCTGACCTCAGGTTATCCGCCCCCCCCTTGGCCTCTCAAAGTGCTGGGATTATAGGCATGAGCCACCGCACCTGGCCTCATTCAGTTTTAAAATATAAATTAAAGCCGCTCATGCCTGTAATCCCAGCACTTTGGGAGGCCAAGGTGGCGGATCATCTGAGGTCAAGAATTCGAGACCAGCCTGGCCAACATGGTGAAACCCCATCTCTACTAAAAACCCAAAATTTAGCCTGGCATGGTGGCGCATGCCTGTAGTCCCAGCTCCTTGGGAGGCTGAGGCAGGAGAATTGCTTGAACATGGGAGGTGTAGGTTGCAGTGAGCTGGGATCACGCCACCACACTCCAGCCTGGGTGACAGAGTGGGACTCCATCTCAAAAAAAACAAAAAAACGTTAATTAAATTCCATCCCATCTCTGCTCCAAAACATCCCATGGCTCCCTGTGGGTTTTATTTATTTATATATTTGAGACAGAGTTTTGCTCTTGTTGCCCAGCCTGGAGTGCAGTGGCGTGATCTCAGGTCACTGCAACCTCCGCCTCCCGGGTTCAGGCAATTCTCCTGCCTCAGCCTCCCGAGTAGCTGGGATTACAGGTGCCCACCACCACACCCGGCTAATTTTGTATTTTTAGTAAAGATGAGGTTTCACCGTGTTGGTCGGGCTGGTCTTGAACTCCTGACCTTATGTGATTCACCTGCCTCAGCTTCCCAAAGTGCTGGGATTTACAGATGTGAGCCACCGCGCCTGGCCGCTACGGATCTTAGAACACAGCTCTCCCCTGATGCCCTCCTGCACTCATCTCCCTCCTTCTCTTTCTCATTTGTTCCAGGCAGTCAAACCTGCCTCCATTGCACTGGTGCTTAAAGGACCCGGCTCATTCATTCCCCAGGGCCTTTGCCCCTTCTGTGCCCTCCACTGGAAATGTCTCCTTCTAGATTTACCTGTGGGTGGGCTCTTCCTCCTTCCATCATTCCCCTCCAGAGGCCCTTTTTGACCACCTCCACCCCACTATTTCCCTCTGTTCATTTTTTTTTTTTTGAGACAGAGTCTCTCTGTGTTGCCCAGGCTGGAGCGCAATGGCAAGATCTCAGCTCACCGCAACCTCCACCTCCCGGGTTCAAGCTATTCTCCTGCCTCAGCCTCCCAAGTAGCTGGGACTACAGGTGCCCGCCACCACGCCTGGCTAATTTTTCATTTTTGGAAGAGATGGGGTTTCATTATGTTGGCCAGGCTGGTCTTGAACGCCTGACCTCCTGATCCATCCACCTCGGCCTCCCAAAGTGCTAGGATTACAGGCTTGAGCCACCGTGCCTGGCCTGTTCATCTCTTTCAAGGCACTTATCACTACCAGAATTGTTTGTTTGTTTTGAGACAGGATGTCACTCTGTTGTGCAGGCTGGGGTGCAGTGGCATGATAATGGCTCACGGCAACCTTGACCTCCTGGGCTCAAGCAATCCTCCTGCCTCAGCCTCCCAAGTAGTTGAATCTACAGATGCATGTCACCACACTGGCTAATGCTTGTATCGTTTGTAGAGAGAGGGTCTCACTATGTTGCCCAGGCTGGTCTGGAACTCCTGGGCTCCAGTGATCCTTCTGCCTCAGCCTCCCAAAGTGTCGGAAGTATAGGCATGAGCCATTGCGCTCAGTCCAGAATGTTCTTATCAGGTTCTGCTAGTTACAGGGAGGACAGGGTTCTCTCCCCATCTGGGTCCTCAGAACCCAACAAGTTATGGCACACAGTTGGCACTCAATAAATGTTTTTGGCCTGAACAAATTAATTTATCAATGACCAACTGCATGTCAGACACTTCCACAGGGCTTATTATATGATTATAAACCATGAGAGGGTGGTATGTGGTGGCTCAGGCCTGTAATCCCAGCACTTTGGGAGGCTGAGGTGGGTAGATCACGAGGTCAAGAGATCGAGACCATCCTAGCCAACATGATGAAACCCTGTCTCTGCTAAAAATATAAAAATTAGCTGGGCATGGTGGTGTGCGCCTATAGTCCCAGCTACTCAGGAGGCTGAGGCAGGAGAATCGCTTGAACGCTTGAACCTGGGAGGCAGAGGTTGCAGTGACCCAAGATCATGCCACTGCACTCCAGCCTGGTGACAGAGCAAGACTCTGTCTCAAAAAAAAAAAAAAAAAAAATTAAACAAAAAAATTAAAAAAAAAAAATAACCAGGCATGGTGGTGTACACCTGTAGTCCCAGCACTTTGGGAGGCTGAGGCAGGAGGACTGCTTGAGTCCGGGAGTTCAAGACCAGCCTGGGCAACATAGCGAGACCCCCATCTCTAAAGAATTATTATTATTATTATTATTTGAGATGGAGTTTTGCTGTTGTTACCCAGACTGGAGTGCAATGGCATGATCTCAGCTCACCACAACCTCCGCTTTCTGGGTTCAAGCAATTCTCCTGCCTCAGCCTCCCGAGTAGCTGGGACTACAGGCGTGCACCACCATGCCCAGCTAATTTTTGTATTTTTAGTAGAGACGGGGTTTCATCATGTTGACCAGGATGGTCTCGATCTCTTGACCTTGTGATCCACCCGCCTCGGCCTCCCACAGTGCTGGGATTATAGGCGTGAGCCACCGCGCCCGGCCTAAAAAATTATTTTTAAATTAGCCAGGTATGGTGGTATACACCTGCAGTCCCTGTTACTGGGGATGCTGAAGCAGGGGGATCACTTGAGCCCAGATGTTGGAGGCTGCAGTGATCTATGACTGGGCCCCAGCCTGGGCAACAGGACAGAGTGAGCTCCATCTCCCCATGAAAAGTCGCCACCGTTTATGGAGCACCAACTCTGTGCGGAGCTTTCAGATAAGCCCCGTAGGCACAGGCGTCCAGGAGTCCGGGCCTCCCTCACCGTATAAGGCATTACTATTCCCATTTTGGAAAAAGGGTAAACTGAGGCTCTGAAAATGCTCTGACTTGCCACACAGTGAGAGAGTAGCTAAGTGGGGGCCAGGATCCTCATCAGCCTCACACTCTAGCCTTTCCTCTCAGTCCAGAGACTAAGGCGCTAGCTGGTTGCTCGAGACCCTGGCCCAATCTACAGACTGGGAAACTGAGGCTAGCCCTACCGCGCTCACCTCAGCAGGGCAGGCAGGAGGTGCTGGCAGCCTCTGGCCCTCCTCCAGCAGTTCCAGGAGGCGGCAGAGGGCGGGGACATCCCGCTCACAGGCCATCAACCGCAGGAACTCCTGGAGCAAAGCAGGAGCGCAAGTGGTGGGGGAGGGACCTCTGTGGGAGAGGGGGGAGGGGCACCCGTGTGGGGGAAGGGGCCATCTGTGATGGAGTGGGGAGAGGCTGCCTGCACTGTGGGGGGTCAGAAAGGTGAGGAGGGTCCTCTTCACTGGGGCCTATGATGCTGGAACCAGGTGACCCCATGCTAAAAAGGGACGCAGGTGCAGACAGGATGGAGATTGGCTACAAGGGCCGTGCCGGGAGAGGGAGGCTGGGGGCCCAGGGAGCCGACTCACCGCCGAGGGGCTGCAGCTTTTGTCGCAGTAGCTGAAGAGCTCGTACAGGACAACCCCGAAGCTCCAGACGTCTGATTGGCGAGAGAATATGTTGTCCGAGAGGGACTCGGGGGCATACCTGGCGAGGGGACAGGGAGGTCTTGAGGAAAGGACAGGAAGAAGGGGGTAGCCTTGGAATGGGGAACTGGTCGGGGTAGGTGGGGACTGTAAGCAGGTCAGTCCCATCCCCAGGGTCTCGGTTTCCCTGGCTGTGGGATGGGTGGATTCTCCAGCCTTGGGAGGTGCCTGGGAAGACCCCAGGCCGGGGACGGGGGCGGGGCCACTGTGGAGGGGCGATGGGGCGGGGCCAGAACCGTGGGATGGGAGGGGCCAGAACGGGGGGGGGGGGAAGAGTGGAACTAAGAGGGAGCCAGCGCCGAGGGGCGGAGCCAGAGTAGTTGGAGGGGTGGGGCTGTGAAGAGTGGGAGGGGAAAGAGCTGAGGAAGGGCGGGGCTAAGGCTGGGAGCGGCTGACAGTAGGGCAGGAAAGAGGGAGGAGCCAGTGCAGTTGAGGGGCGGGGCTCTGAGGAGTGGGCAGGGCCACAGCTGGAGCGGAGGAAGGGCGAGGCTAAGGCTGCGGGACAAGCAGCGGGAGGGGCGGGGCCATGGCTGGGGGCGGGATCAGAGCCGTAGTTGGGGGAGTAGGGAGCCTGGGCGCGGGTTCCCCACCAGAAAATGGGGCTCTGGCCCGGCTCGCGGACCACGTAGTAGTCTTTGTCAAGCGGAAGCAGCTTGGCTAGACCGAAGTCAGCGATCTTGACGTGTGCCTCGCTCTCCACCAGGATGTTCCGGGCTGCCAGGTCGCGGTGCACGCAGCGGCGGGAGCCCAGGTACTCCATGCCCTGCGGACCGGTGGGGCGAGCGTGCAAGAGGACCCCAGGATAATTCGGCAGGTACCCCAAGCCTGACCTGGACTCTAATCCTAGCCCAGACCCCAAGCCTAACCCTACCCACGAGCCATCCTTCACTGCAGTTCTGATCCTGAGCCAAGTCAACCCCACCACCCCGAGACCTGGACCGCAAACATCACTCTTCAGCCTTCACCGCGACCTCTGTGCAGACCCCTGCCCAGGCCGAGCCAACTGAGTCCCCACAGGTCCCGGGGCGCCCCCTCGCACCTTGCAGATCTGCGAGGCGTAGAGGAGAAGCCGGCTGGCATCGAGATGCGCGCGATGCCGCTGCAGGAAGTCGCGCAGGCAGCCGCTGGGCAGGTACTCCATGACCAGCCGCAGGCTCTGGCGGCCTGGAGGACGCAGGAGCTGTCACAACAGGACCCAGCCCTGCTCCTCCCCCCATTTTCCCCCTACCCCGCTTTCACAGCGGGACCTCGTGTCCCTCTTGACCTCAGTTTTGCTGACTGTGACATGGAAACCAAGACAATGACACATTGCTAATATCTCTTGAGTACCTTCTACTACATTGATTTGTTTCTATATCACGGCCAGCCACGGTGGCTCATGCTTGTAATCCCAACACTTTGGGAGCCTCACTCTAGGTCAGGAGTTCAGGACCATCCTGGCCAACATGGTGAAGACCCATCTCTACTAAAAACAAAAATTAGCCGGGTGTGCTGGCATACTCCTATAATTTCTGCTACTCGGGAGGCTTAGGAGAATCATTTGAACCCGGGAGGCAGAGGTTGCAGTGAGCCAAGATTGCCTGACTGCACTCCAGCCTGGGTGTCAGAGCGAGACTCTGTCTCAAAAACAAAAATCAAGTAAATATCACAACGACCCATTTTCAGCTGGAGAAACTGTGGCTCCAAAAAGTCAAGGTTGCACAGTTGGTAACGGGTAGGGTCAGGATTCAAACCTGTGACCCATGAGAATCTGGATCCATAATCATGCAGGAGGGTAAGAGTTGCACTTTGAAAAGCATCCATATGTCTTGGTTCACTCATCCAGGAGCTGGCTCACCCGGGCCGTAGCTGACACCACGATACTTGACAATGAAGTCACTGTGCAGTGCTTTGAGGATCTGGATCTCCCGCTGGAAGTCCCTCTGCTGGTCTGGCCCGCTGTGCTGCAGCTGTTTCACGGCCACCAGGGCACCTGTGTTGTCGCCTAGCGGGTCATAGCGGCACAGCTCCACGCTGCCAAAGTTGCCCTGGGGAATAGTGGGGCTGGTGTCCAGGCGCTCGGATGCTGCCCCACCCTCTCCAACCCACCCCGGCCCCACCCACCTTACCTTGCCCAGCTGTGAGATGTACTTAAGGTGTCTCTCCTCAAAGATCGTGGGGTCTTGGCAGGCATAGAGCTGGGTACCATTCCACAGCCCATCACGAGGTGCCAGGGCACCAGGTGTGAGGTCTGAGAGGAGCTCATAATCTGGGGCGGGGGCATGGCCAGTGGTAAGCAGCGCTTCTCATCCTCAGCCCCACTCCTGAGCTGACTTGCTGTGCAACCTTCATCTGCATATTGACCCTCTCTGTGCATATGGCAGGGCCATTGCAAGCTCAATTCTACCTTGTGGAGACTGGAAAAAGGTGTCCCCACCCCATCCCAGGCAAAGGAAGCCTCCTCGTGCAGTACACACCCTGTGCAACTCCCCATGGCTACAAAGACGGAGGACATAATGAGAACTCATTTCCCTCGTTCCACCACTATGAAATGTGGCCACATGATTGCGCTCGGGCTGATGGACAAGATGTGCTGGGTGCCTTCCAGTCCTGGCCCATGGAAACCTAACACGGGACCCTCCACTCTCTCTTATCTGCAGAGGATCCAACAGGGACCCAAGGCCGGAGGTGGGTGGAGACACAAAGTGAAAGGTTCCTGTGGGCCTGGGCACCCTCGTTGAATGAGGACTAAGTATCGCACGGGCATGGTTGTCTGTGCCTCTCATCCCACCCACTTGGGAGACTAAGTCAGGAGGATTGCTTGAGCCAGTAATTCAAGACCAGCCTGTGCAACGCAGCAAGACCAAGCCTAACCCTACCCATGACATCGCAGCTCTTCCCACCCAATCAGGCCCAGTGGGCACCTGCAGAGATGAGGCTGTTGAGGTCACGGATGATGGCTCGAAAGGAGGGTCTCCGGACTGGCTCGTAGTCCATGCACTGCTGAATGAGCAGAGCCAGCTCTGTCCACTTGGGGGCCGGCAGCTGCTGCCGGTCCTCATAAAACTGGAGTTTCTGAGGGTGAGAGGAGGGGTCTGTCATCCCCAACCCACCAGACCCACCCCAACCTCCCAGACTGGATATCGGTCTGCCCTTCTGTCACAGTGGGGGCTCAGTGACCGATGGCAGGTGAGGAGCTCTGACCTTAGCGGGATCCAGGGCACTGATGGGCATGGTGACGCCACTAAACACCTCCCAGACGGTGGCGCCGAAGCCCCACTTGTCAGCTTCCAGGCTAAGTGTCTGGGCCCCTTGGAGGCACTCGGGGGCCACCCAGGGAATCCTGTCCGTGAGCACTGAGGGAATGGAAGTGCGATGAGGGATCCACTTCCTTGCCCCGCTCAGCCCCTCCCTTCTCCAGCTCCAGGAACTTACTCTCCAGGCTTAGCACCGTGGGGCTGACCCCAGGGTCACTCAGCTTGATGAAGGGCGGGCTCCCATCACCCCCGTCCCGAGCCAGGAGCACCTTTCGGGCAGAGACATTGCCGTGGGGGAGGCCTTTGTCCTCCTAAGGGGGCCAGGCATAGGGAAATGCCAGGAAGGGTTTGATGAATGAAGAGTCTCTTTGGCAAACTCCTATACATCCTTCAAAACCACTTGGTACTGCTCAGACATGCTCCAGCATCATCCCTGACTCCTGACATCCTGTCTTGCCCCTTTAGTTTACCCCCTACACTGACCTGGCTGTGACCCTCCCCTTCTCAAACCCATCCTGTGGCTCCCCAGTGCCTTTGACACAAAGTGCAAGCGCCTTAGCCTGGCAATCAAGGCCCTTGTTCAAGCTGCCCACCTCTTCCACACTGGCCCCCGGTCTCCTGCCAATGGAACTGCCTGATAGGCCCCAGTGGGGTGCAATACACCATCTACCCTGTGGGCCTTTACCTAGGCTGTTCCCTCAGCCTGACGCACCCACCTTCTTTTCTTTTCTTGATGAACTTCACTCAACCTTTAAGGCCCCATCTCCAATGTCCCTTCTTCTAGGAAGCCTTTTCCCCTGCCTAGCCTCATCATTCACTACACCCCCTGACATCCATGAATGACTTGTTCCCTTCTAGTGTTCTCACAACCTCATTCTAAAACGCCCTCCCCTCGAACCCTTACCAAACTCCTATGCATACTACAGAGCCCACTCCCAATCCCGAGAGAAAGGCTTCCCTGCGAATGGAGGGTGGAGCAGGCAAAGGAGCACTCACCAGATAGTTGAGGGCATAGGCCAGCTGTTTGACCACCTGTAGCTTCCAGCTGGCTGGCACCAGGTGGCCACGCTTGCGCAGATACATGTCTATTGCCCCCAGGTGTACAAATTCCTGCACCATGGTGCCTGGTTGGCAGCAGGGAGAGGCAGCATTGGGAGACTGAACTGCACTTGTGTTGAGGACGTTCTGCTCTCATGGTCTCTCGAGACACTCATCTCTGTCTGTTCCCTCCCCTGCCGCCTCTGTTCATACCATACTACCCTCTACTCCCACCTCCAGCTCTGAATAATTGGCTTGGGATTTCTGGAAGATGCCAAGCTGTTTCTTTTTTCTTTCCTTCCTTTCTTCCTTCCTTCCTTCCTTCTCTTTCTTCCTTTCCTTTCCTTTCTTTTTCTTTTCGCTTCTTTTGAGACGGAGTCTCACTCTGTGGCCCAGGCTGGAGTGGAGTGGCGCTAACTTGGCTTATTGCAATCTCCACCTCCCAGGCTCAAGCATTTTCCTGCCTTAGCCTTCCAAGTAGCTGGAACTATAGCATGTACCACCACACCTGGCTAATTTTGCATTTTCAGTAGAGATGAGGTCTCGCCATGCTGGCCAGGCTAACTACTGATCTCAGGTGATCCGCCTGCTTCAGCTTTTCAATTACAGGCGTGACCCACTGTGCCCAACCTCTGTATCTCACTTCTAACCCTTTGTACGTTCTGTGTCCTCTGCCTAGAGCACTCCTTCCTTTCCTAATTCACACCTGCCCTTGTCTTTCCAGGTTAGAATGCATCTCCGTCTACCCACAGCATTGCCCAACCCCCAGCCTCTCTGACCACCCACAGTGCCCCATGCTGCCCTCCTCACACCTCGTCACGCCCTGCCTATCACATTCTAAGCTCTGTCCCCAGCTCCCAGCCCATCCCGGACTCCCAACCAAAGAAACCAGGGCTCAGAATGGTCATGTACAGAGCTGCAGAGACTGGAAAGCCAGTTTTGTCTGACTTCAGACCATTCTGGGGCTGGGCACAGGTGGGAACCTGGAGCTGCTTTCCAAGGAGTGATGATGGGGAGACATGAATGAGGGGTAATAGACACGGCCCCCATCAGGGTAGTCCAGCACGTTGCTGGTGCTGTCATATGGAGGCCCAGAACAGAGGCGGGAAGGACAGCCTGGACTGGGGGGGCGGGGGGCCGGGGGGGGGGCTTACTGTCTCCAGCCATGCACACGCCGTGCAGTAACACGAGATGCCGGTATGACACTTGACTCATCAAGCTCGCTGCTTCCAGGAATGACTGCGGAGGGTGGGAAGGGAGAGAAGACGCCTGGGTTCTTTCCACTTCAACGATCCCAAATTTTGTGCTCACAAAGCTGCCTTAGGTGAAAACCTGCCCACAGGCTGCCTTTGGCCCTGCAGTCTGCCATTAGTACATACAACACTACCATGATGATGTTCTTTTTTCTTTTTTTTTGTTTTTAGAGAGGGAGTTTCACTCTTATTGCCCAGGCTGGAGTGCCATGGCCCAATCTCGGCTCACTGCAACCTCCTCCTCCCAGGTTCAAGTGATTCTCCTGCCTCAGCCTGAAATCAGAGGTTGCAGTGAGCTGAGATCACGCCGTTGCATTCCTGCCTTAGTTTGGGGTGCCCCCTAGAAGCCGACTCTGAGATGAAGACTCCAGGGCACACTCCGGGTAGCAGGGATCACAGGCACGCACCACCACGCCCCGCTAATTGTGTTTCTTTTTAGTAGAGACGGGGTTTCTCCGTGTTGGCCAGACTGGTCTCAACCTCCTGACCTCAGGTGATCTGCCCGCCTCAGCCTCCCAAAGTGCTGGGATTGCAGGCGTGAGCCACTGCACCAGGTCACTACCGTGATTTTCTGATACGGGATGGAAATTCCCACTACAGTCTACCTTTATTTATTTATTAATATTAGTATTATTATTATTGAGATGGAGTCTCACTCTTTTGACAGGCTGGAGTGCAGTGGCATGTTCTTGGCTCACTGCAACCTCCACTTCCTGGGTTCAAGTGATTCTCCAGACTCAGCCTCCCGAGTAGCCAGGACTACAGGTGCCCACCACCACGCCGGGCTAAATTTTTGTTTTGGTACAGATGGGGTTTTGCCATGTTGCCCAGGGTGGTCTCCAACTCCTGGCCTCAAGTGATCTGCCCACCTCCGCCTCCCCAAGTGCTGGGATTACAGGCGTGAGTGACCACACGTGGCCTGTTCTGTTTTTTAGAGGCAGGGTCTCCCTTTGTCACCCAGGCTGGAGTGCAGTGGGGTGATCAAAGCTCCCTGCAGCCTCAAACCCCTGTGCTTAAGTGATCCTCCCCCCTCAGCCTCCTGAGTAGCTGGGACTACAGGCACGTGCCACCACACCTGGCTGATTTTTAAAATTTTTTTGTAGAGACGAGGTCTTGGGATGTTACGTAGGCTGTTCTGGAACTCCTGGCCTGAAACCTGCTGAGGCAGGAGGGCATGAGCCACCGCGCCCAGGCCCTGTGTGTTTTTAAATTTCTCTGTGTCCATGACCCCCTCTCCAGCCAGCCCTGCCTCCAAAGGTCTGGTCCCCACCCCGCTCACCTCCATGCAGTTCCTGTGTTTGGCGTCCATCACCTTCAGCAGCACCTCTGTCTTTCGGGCCTCCCCATCCACTGCCTCGTGGCGACAGCCCCGGTAAATCTTGGTGAAGGACCCGTGGCCCAGGTTCTCATGCTGGATGGTGAGGAGACAGCAGAAGAGCCCAGTGAGGGTTCCTGCAGCATCCCAGCCCACCTGAGACACCACTGCTGGCGCCATTTTACAGATGAGAAAACCGAGGCAAAAAAAACTTACAGCACATGCCTGAGGCCACACATCTGCGTCTCTGGACCCCAGACTGAGGTATCACCCCATTTCCCAGGGCCCCTTACCCACTCCAGGCTGTCCGCAGGGATCTTGTGAAATGTCATCTGACTCAGCTGGCATTGGGATTGGGGCTGAACCAGGGAGGACGTGGGTGGGCTGTGACCTCTCCGGACCACAATCAGGTTGGACTTTTCTATGGGGACAGAATGAGGGAGAAACACCAGAAATCAGAGCTGAAATGTCCCCAAGTAAACCAGAAATCAGAGGTGAAATCAGAGGTTGCAGCGAGCCGAGATGGCGCCATCGCACTCCTTAGTTTGGGGTACCCCCTAGAAGCCGACCCCGAGATGAAGACTCCAGGGCACACGGTTTATTTGTTTTCTGTTGTCATTGCTGTTGTTGAGATGGGGTCTTGCTGTGTCATCCAGGCTGGAGGGCAGTGATGTAATCTCTGCTCACTGCAACCTCCGCCTCCTAGGTTCAAGTGATTCTCCTGCCTCAGCCTCCTGAGTAGCTGGGACTACAGGTGTGCGCCACCATGCACGGATAATTTTTGTATTTTTAGTAGAGATGGAATTTCACCATGTTGGCCATGCTGGTCTCAAACTCCTGACCTCAAGTGATCCATCTGACTCAGCCTCCCAAAGTGCTGGGATTACAGGCGTGAGCCCCCACACCTGGCTGGCACATGATTTATTTGAAAGGAGATCCAGAAGAGGCTGGGTGAGTGGCTCATGCCTGTAATCCCAGCACTTTGGGAGGCCGAGATGGGTGGATCACCTGAGGTTGGGAGTTCAAGACCAGCCTGTCCAACATGGAGAAACCCTGTCTCTACTTAAAAATACAAAACTAGCTGGGTGTGGTGGCGCATGCCTGTAATCCCAGCTACTCGGCAGGCTGAGACAAAAGAATGGCTTGAGCCTGGGAGGCAGAGGTCACAGTGAGTGGAGATCCTGCCATTGCACTCCAGCCTGGGCAACAAGAGAGAAACTCCATCCAAAAACAAATGGAAGGAAGGAAGGAAGGGAGGAAGGAAGGAAGGAAGGCAGGGAGGGAGGGAGGGAGGGAGGGAGGGAGGGAGGGAGGGAGGGAAGGGGAGGGGACGGGAAGGGAAGGGAAGGGAGGGAAGAGAAGGAGATCCAGAAAGTCCCCATAGGGATCTGGGATGAGAGACAGGGAAGGGAGGAGCCCTGCAGGGGTCTTACTGAGCAGGTAGCACTGCAGACAATGTGAACAAACAGGGCTCAGTTCTACTAGAGATTCTGGGAGACTCTGAAGAACTCACATCTCAGAGTTGTCCCATCAGAGGGGTTTGTCTCAGAGTGAAATTCACCCAGAGGAAGAGCTGAGAGATGGAGAGGGACTAGGGGCAGACGGCATGGCTCAAATCTAGCTATACTTAGATCAAGCCAGACCTGAAGGTTATTTATCTCTAACTGCTGAGCCAATAAATCACCTTTTCTTCCCTAATCCACCTTGACCTGCAGTTTCTGCCACTTGCCACCCACACAGGAGCTGTCACAGACATAGAAAGCCAGGGTCCCAGATCAGCCACTCATTTCAGGGAAGGAGAGGGCTCACCTTTGGGTCTGGGGATACAGCAGGAGGTGAGGGTCACTGGGACCCCATCTACGTGCAGCCCTCCATCCCAGCAGGTTGCCAGGAGCTCTCGAACACTGCTGTAGGGTTGGCTGAGGCCAACCAGAAAAAAGGATCCTGTGGGGCTGCGCCGGATGAGGCAGCCCTTGTAATCAGGACCGAGGGGGGTCTGCAGAGAAGAGTGAGTGGTCCCTGAGTGGGAGTGGGCAGCACTCTCCCTCCTTCTCTCTTCCTTTCTTCCTTTCTCTCTCTTTCCTTCTCCCCTCCTTCCCTCCCTTCCTTTCTCTCTTTCCTCCTTTTTTCTTTCTTTCATCTCTCTTTCTCTCTTTCCTTCCTTCCTTTCTCTTTCCTTCCTCCCTCCTTCCCTCCCTTCCTCCTTTTTTTCTATTTTCTCCCTCCCTCTCTTTCTTTCCTTCTTTCTTTCATCTCTTTTTCCTTCCTTCCTTCCTTTCTCTCTCTTTCTTTCCTTCTTTCCTTCTTTGACAGAGTCTTGCTCTGTTGCCCTAGGCTGGAGTGCAATGGTGCAATCTCTGCTCACTGCAATCTTCATCTCCCAGGTTCAAGTGATTCTCCTGCCTCGGCCTCCCAAGTACCTGGGATTACAGGCCTGTACCACCACACCCAGCTAATTTGTGTTATTTGTAGTAGAGATGGGGTTTCACCACACTGGCCAGGGTGGTCTTGAACTCCTGACCTCAGATGATGTACCCACCTTGGCCTTCCCAAAGTGCTGGGATTACAGTTATGAATCCCAGCCTCAGTCCTTCCTAAAGCACCACAAACTCATTGCAGTCTCTAGGCCTTTGCATATGTTGTTCTCTTCACTGGGGGTGTCTTTTCCCTCCCATTCTTCAGGAACCAAATGCCAACGGATCTTTTAGATCTTAATTCAAACGTCACCTCCTCCAGGAAGCCCTCCACTACCCACCCTAGCAGTAGACCGACCTGAACACAAACAGTAAGGAGGAAGCTCTCAAAGTCCTGGGGGCTGCGGCGGAGAACATAGGAGCCAGGAAGTGAGCCCCCAGTCTTAAGCTTGTTGATGGCAAAGTCCAGACTGTGGGGAAAGGTGAGAAGGAAGGGGAAGGAGAGTCAGAGACAGGAGAAGACAGAGACCTGGGTTCAAATTTAGTACCTCTGTAGCCCTGGGATCTTTGCCAGGTGACACCCTCCCCCCATTTATCAAATCAGCCATAAGTCTTGGCCTCTTCCTGGGAGACTTTTTAAAAAATAGAGACAGGGTCTTGCTCAGTTCCCCAGGCAGGAGTGCAATCTCAGCTCACTGCAGCCTCCAACTGCTGGGCTCAAGTGATCCTCCTGCTGCTTCAGCCTCCAGAGTCGCTGGGACTACAGGCCAACCACCACACCCAGCTATTTTTTTTTTTTTTCATGTTTTTTGTAGAGTTGGGGTCTTTCTTGTTGCCTAGACTGGCCTCCAACTCCCGAGTTCAACAATCCTCCCGCCTTGACCCCTCAAAGCGCTGGGATTGCAGGCGTGCGCTACTATGCCCGCCTTTCCTGGGAGATTGAACAAGAGCCTGTAGGTGAAGGTGGGTGAATTGTCCGACTACAGGAGATGGCCCTGGGGTCTGAGAGAGAGTAGTGGTCGCCCCGCAGAGCAGGAGACTCCAGCTTCACCGAGGCTGATTGTGTGGCACGTCTGGTGTGGGCATTTGGCCCCTGTCCGGGGCTCCTGGAAGGTGAGGTCGCTGAGGCGAGAAGGGGAGGGGCCCTGCGTAGCCGCAGAGGTGGGAATGGAGGGCAGGTCCTTACGTGATGGGGCCGTGGCACTGCTCGGCCACCTCCTCCAGCAGCCTCGGCGGTGCCACCTCCTTGCAGAAGAAGTGCTGGGAGTCCGTGGTCAGCCGGAAGTAGCCGTCCACGAGCGCCACAAAGGACAGCGCCTCGGGCAGCCCCGGGAACTCGGCCTCCTGCGAGGGAGGAGTGTCGGAGCCCACTGCAACCCGAGGGTGCCGGTCCCGCCCTCGGGGTAAGGCCGGAGGGGAGGGGAGCCTGCACCCACCAAAATCTGATTGTCTGTCCTGGTGACAGTCACCAGACGGTGCTCCCCGGCCGGGCCAGCGCGCGGGGCCTGCTTGATGCTAATGTCTACGATTTCTGGAAAGTCGCAGAAGGGCTGGAGGTCCTGGGAAGGAGGGAAGGATAGAGGGGGGGACCCTGCTGTACCCCACCAACCCACGCCCACGAGCCGGAACACCCAGCCACGCCCTCTCCTTCTCCACCCCTTTCCCGCTCAACCCCGCCAAATCCCGCTCCCTCCTGTCAACCCCACCCCTCTCAACCCCTCCCCTGCCCATCCCCCAACATCTCCCACCCACCCCCTGCCTATCCCCGCCTCCTTCTCTCTGCCAGTGCCCTGCCCCTGGATCTCTGCCCTGCTTCACAGCCTCCCAGCTCTCGGAGCCTCACTCCCTCCTTCCGGCGCCCACCCACCCACTCCCCTCCTCAGCCCCTCCCATTTTTAATTCCCGCGTCGCTCAGCCCCACCCTTCACTCGCTTGCCCCTCCCACTCCCGTAGTCTCCTCCCTTCCTAAGCCCCTCCCCTCCTTAAGCCTCGTCCACTTCCCCGACGCTTTCGCTTTGGCTCCGCCCCACCACCCAGCCCACTCTGCGGGCTCTACCTAGCCCCGCCCCCATTGGCCCCGCCCAGCGGGGGGTCCGCCCTCACCTCCTGTCCTCCAGGGCTCCAGGCGAGGCCGCTGTCACCTGCCACGCGGAGCAGCCCCAGCCCGTCCTGGCCATCAGGGCCCCCGGGGAGGCCCACGTGGAAGGTCTCGGCGGCCCCGGCCGGATTCAGCCTCTCCAGGTCCATGATGTACTTGGCCATGAGCGACTGCCGGTCGGCCTGGCAGGAGGCCACGCGGCGCAGGGCCCTGCGCACAGTCCTCCGAATACGCCTCCGCGTCACGAAGCCCAGGCCCTGGATCTGGTCGCGCAGGCCGGGGGGTAGGCAGGCCTTGTAGCTGCAGAGGTTGGAGGGGAGGGAGCCGGCCCTTAGCGTGGGGAGGAGTCCCCGCAGGGACACAGACAAACCCAGGCTTTAGCCCAGGGGCTGGGGCGAGGCCCCAGTTGGGGCACGAGGCACATAGGAACTCTCATTCAGGGGCAGGTATGGGGACTGGACCTCAGAGTACGAGAGGGCCACTGGCGCCCACAGGTCGGACAGGGACCCCACACGCCTTTTAGCTGGGCAAAGTCAGGTGTCTGTCCAGCTGGAGCCTGGGGGTGGGGAGGGCTGGGTTCATGGGAGACGCCGTGTCATAGGAGCACCCTGAAAGATTGCAGGGGAGCTGCATGGTGGGAGCCTGGCACCGGATGGAGCCCACATTGCTCACTCCCAAGCAGAGGCGGTCCCCACAGCCTGGTGGCTCTCACCTGACAGTCTTCAACAGTTCTCCTGGCCGCTGGGCCTGCTCTCTTGACATCCGGGCCAGGTCCAGCACAGCCAAGCTGAGACACTCACCCTGCTCCTTGAGGCTGAGGCCCACAGCGAGGCGTCCACTCACCAGGTCACTGCGGTGCTGGGGGCACCCCACAGGGAGCATTAGCTGAGGTCACCCAGCTTCAAGCCCTGATGTTAACCTGCAGAACCCCCAATCCTGGGCAGACCCACACCCCTGGACTGCCACAGGGAGGGTCAGACGAGGTCCCACCTGATTGCAAGCCAGCCCTGATGTTGCTCCTCGGACGCCCAACCCCCTGGGCCAAACCCCAGGCAGAGCCCCACCTGGGCAAAGAGGTGCTCCAGGACTGGCAGGTCAAGGACAGCGCTGGCCAAATCCTTTCGCAGCCCAAAGCGGTGGCACTTCTCCAGCCCACACCAATTGGGGAAGTAAAAGCTGTGAGGGGGAAAGAACCCTGGGTTGAAAGTGAAACCTAGTCTCAGAAGGAGTGATGGTATGGTGGAGGCCTCACAGAGCCCAGCTTGTACCTTTAACTTGCTGTGTGACCTTGGGCAAGTGACCCACCCTCTCTGGTCTGTTTCCTCATCTGAGAAATGAGTAGTGATCATGTCCCCTCCCTGGGACGGGGGTGTGGGCACCTTGAAATGCAAGGAGATAACATTGTACAATCCCTGGGTTTTGGGACGCACTTCCTACCGAATCCTGTAGCAGAGGACATGGGTGGTGGCATCTTCCACGGAGAAGATGTGACTTGGGGGAAACCAGCAGGACAGGTCCTCGGTGGCCAGAGCAAAGAGGGAGTGGTACACAGGCAGGATGCCTATAGGAGGCGGTTCCATCAGCACCCTCCTGAGTCACCTCGCCTGTGCCCTGCAGGAGTGCCAGGCTCATACCCAACCATCCAGATCCCTTCCATACCACAAGGGATGACCAGCTGTCCCCTTCATGTGCGGGTCACACCTTTCAGTTTTTGCACAGACCATTCCCTCTGCCTCAAAGGCCCACCCTTCACACCCTTCTCCATTGCCAAACTCCTACTCATCCCTCAAAGCCCCAGCTCCAATGCTGATTTCTATAGGCATCTATTCCAGTTCCCATTCTTGGCTCCACATAGCCCTGTCCTTCCCTCTGGCCCGATCTTCTAGGGATGCACTCACCGCTGGCCTTGGCAGCCTGCACACACAGGTCCTCAGCCAAGTGGTCCCCATAGGAGAAAGATAGGCGCTGGGGGGGCCCTGGGCCCCGGGCAGGCAGCAGCACTTGTAGGGCACCAGCTTCCGTGGACAAGAGGCTGCAGGAACGCTGAGGGATCAGGGGCGTCTCTTCGTTTGGAGGTGCCATGAGGGCAGCTTGCCTGGGGCACAGAGAGGCAGCCCCTCAGTCCTGGCCAGAAGGGACTGGACTTATGGGGTAGGGGCAGCATGGAAAGGCGTGCTGGAGGCCGGGCTCGGTGGCTCACACCTGTAATCACACCATTTTGGAGGCCGAGGTGGGGGGTGTGGTGGGGATCACTTGAGGTCAGGTGTTTGAGGCCAGCCTGGTCAACATGGTGAAACCCTGTCTCTAAAAAGTACAAAACTTAACCGGGTGTGGTGGTGTGTTCCTGTAATCCCAGCTACTTGGGAGGCTGAGGCAGGAGAATCACTTGAACATGCAAGGCAGAGGTTGCAGTGAGCCAAGATAGCACCACTGCACTCCAGCCTGGACAACAGAGTGAGACTCCATCTCAAAAAACAAAAAAAAAAAAAAGAGAGAGAGAAAGAAAGCCTTCTTGAGATGGGCCAAGGAGGAAACTGGCTCCCTGCTTCCCAGCCCCCAACACCTCCCACCGTCTCGCTCACTTGCCCTGAGAAACCTCAGCGCTCAGGGCCCCCAGCTGGGCTGGGGAAAAGGGTGGATCTTCAAGTCCCCTGAGAAGAATCGGGGAGAAGAAGCGGGTCACTCAGATTGACCCAAATGGAGAAGATCCGAGAAAATGCTGGGGAAAAACAAACAAAAGACCCAAAAACCCGTGTTCCAGCGGGCGCAGGGGTTCATGCCTGTACCCCGGCACTTCCGGAGGCCAAGGAGGAAGGATAGCTTGAGACCAGGAGTTTGATCTTTGTTTTTTTGAGACATAGTCTTGCGCTGTTGCCCAGGCTGGAGTGCTGTGGTGCAATCTCAGCTCGCTGCAACCTCCGCCTCCCAGATTCAAGAGATTCTCCGGCCTCAGCCACCCCAGTAGCTGGGGCATTACAGGTGTGCGTCACCACGCCCAGCTAATTTTTTTTGTATTTTTAGTAGAGACGGGGTTTCACTATGTTGTCCAGGCTGGTCTTGAACTCCTGGCTTCAAGTGATCTGCCTCAGCCTCCCAAAATGCTGGATTACAGGTATGAGCCACCCTGCCTGGCTGAGACCAGGAGTTTGAAGCCAGACTGGGCAATATAGTGAGAGCACTTCTCAAAAAGAAAAAAAAAAATCCCTTGTAATCCCAGCACTTTGAGAGGCCGAGGCATGTGGATCACTAAGGCTAGGAATCTAAGACCTCATTTAGCAGGGCATGGTGGTACACCCCCATAGTCCCAGCCACTTGGGAGGCTGAGGAGGGAGGATGCCTTCAGCCCTAGAGGTTGAGGCTACATCGAGCTATGATCACACTACTGCACTCCAGCCTGGGCAACAGAGCAAGACCTTATCTCTCTCTTAAAAAAAAAAAACAAAATACAAAACAATGTTCCAAAATAATACCCTGGGGCAGTGGTGGGGCCGCATTAATGAGGTTTTTGGTTTTGGGATGGACTCTGGTTCTGTCCCCAGACTGGAGTGGAGTGGCGCAATCTCAGCTCACTCCGCCTCCCGGCTTCAAGCGATTCTCCTGCCTCAGCCTCCCAAGGAGCTGGGATTACAGGGGGCATGCGCTACCACACCCGGCTAATTTTTGTTTTTTAGTAGAGACGGGGTTTCACCGTGTTGACTAGACTGGTCTGGAACTCCTGACCTCAGGTCATCCACCCGCCTTGGCCTCCCAAAGTGCTGGGATTACAGGCTTGAGAAAACACGCGGGGTCAAATGAGGTTTAAGACTCAGTCCCAGAAGACTAGGACCCCTAGGACTCAGCTTTCATAGCTGTGAAATGGGCTGACTCCCCAGCAGCCTCGGTGAGGCGGTTTGCTCAGCCCAATCCAGGCCTAAAGGGTCACCTCAATTAATCTGCGTTAGTTCCTACACTTCCTGATAATGTGCCGGTAAGCAGTTTACCAATGCCTGTTCAACCAAACAGGAAGGGCAATCGGCACAGTGGTGCGCGGTGGTTACCAAGGGAAGGGAAGTCTTGCAGGGGAAAGAACCTTACTGCCGGGCGCGGTGGCTCATGCCTGTAATCCCAGCACTTTGGGAGGCCAAGGCGGGCGGATCATGAGGTCAGGAGATCGAGACCATCCTGGCCAACATGGTGAAACCCCATCTCTACGAAAAATACAAAAAAATTAGCTGGGCGTAGTGGCACAGGCCTGTGATCCAAGCTACTCGGGAGGCTGAGGCAGGAGAATCACTGGAACCCAGGAGGCGGAGACTACAGTGGGCCGAGATCTCGCGCCACTGCACTACGACCTGGGTGACAGAGACTCCGTCTCAGAAAAAAAAAAAAAATTCCTTACCAAAGGGACACTTTGAGGTCACCAACGCCCATACAAAGAACGAGCACATTCTTAGTCCCAGAAAACTTGGAGGAGCCCCAAGTCTCCGAGACAAATCCTATCCTAATTCTAATGGCAGAGCCTGTGATGCCTAGTTTTGCCCTTTATAGAAATAGAATCACATCGCATGTCCTCTTTATCTCGCCCTCGACATCAGCCAATCAAGTGGGTTTTTTTGTTGTTGTTACTTGTTTTTTGTTTGTTTGTTTGTTGTTTTGACAGATTCTCCCTGTTGCCCAGGCTGGAGTGCAGTGGCATGATCTCAGCTCACTGCAACCTCCACCTCCCAGGTTAAAGTGATTCTCCTGACTCAGCCTCCAAAGTAGCAGGGATTTCAGGCGCCCGCCACCACCATGCCTGGGTAATTTTTGTGTTTTTAGTAGAGATGGTATTTCACCATGTTGGCCAGGCTGGTCTCAAACTCCCGACCTCAAGTGATACGCCTGCATGAGCTTCCCACAGTGCTGGGATTACAGGTGTGAGCCACTGTGCCCAGCCTCAATCAAGTTTAAAATAAAGCTTCCATGGCAGTGGCACCCGAATGCAATCCCAGCTACTTGGTGGGCTGAGGCAGGAGGATAGCTTGAGGTCAGGGGTTAGAGACCAGCCCGGACCCCTTTCTCCAAAAACCATTTTTTAACAAAATATTATTTTTTTTAATATTGAAAGAAAAGAAAAAGTCAGAGGTGATGTTTGGGCCCAGAAAACGCCATTGGTTTTTTTCGTTTGTTTGTTTGTTTCTGAAAAATGTTTGTAGAAACGGGGTCTGGCTCTGTTGCCCAGGCTGGTCTTGAACTCCTGGCCTCAAGCCACCCTCCCGCCTCAGCCTCCCCTGTTTATAATCCCCAACATTCTGCATTCTGGCATGGTAGGGCACCCTGTGTCTGGACAGGGAAGGCTTGGAGGGTGGGGGCTGGGAACTCCGCCCCCCAGTCCCTCCCCCAACCCCGACTCCCACCCCCATCGCAACACCAGCAGCCCGTGGCGCATGCGCAGTGACTCCTGCAAGTCCGCAAGGCGGGCAACTCGGGGGACCTTGGTTGAAGCTGAGAAGGGAGCGCCTGGGGGATGCGAGTCTCAGCTCCTGTCTGGCAGCTTTCCTCCGAGGCCTGGAAGGCGAGCTCGGCTTTGCCCTGGCAGCACCCTGCACCAGCCCTGCCATCCCCAGCCACCACCGTCCTCCCCCAGGGTCTGGGCAGAGCCCGGAGGCATCGCCAGCTCTTACCTAGCAGGCAGGGATCCTGGGCGTTCAAAGGGAGGGCAGAGCCAGGAGGCAGCGAGAGGAAAGTCCCACTCGGCTCCTTCCTGTGTGGGCCCCTTGGTTTCCTGAGCCACTGTCATTTACCGAAAGTAAGGGCCCTGTGGGGGACGGGGGCGGGGAGGCAGCCAAGGAGGGGTAGAAAGTTCCGGAAGCCTCTGCAACAGCCACCTGGCTCAGACAGGCTGCTGGAGACCCCTGACCCGAGGGAACTGATGATGGCACAGAGAAGGGTCTGGGTCACACCGGGGCAGGGGGCTCAGCCGACTCCAGACCCACTTGTTAAGTGGGGCCCTACCCTGCCCTTGTTGCCTCAGTTTTCCCATCTGTTGCATGTGTGAGTCGGGCACCCATTGGAACTACTTTTGCAGCCAGAGAAGGAAACCCGGCTGGATTTGCCCAGGAGGGAGGCAGGGAAGTTGTTCCAGAGGAAGGTCAAGTTCTTCTTTGAGGTATTTCTTCCTTAAGACTCAGGGAGAAGATGGGTGGGACACAGCGGCTCATGCCTGTGTCCCAGCACTTTGGGAGGCTGGGGAGGCTGAGGTGGGCGAATCACTTGAGGTCAAGAGTTCGAGAGCAGCCTGACCAACGTGGCGAAACTCTGTCTCTACTAAAAATACAAAAATTAGCCGGGCATGGTGGCTCATGCCTGTAATTGCAGCACTTTGGGAAGCCGGGGCAGGCGGATCACTTGAAGTCAGGAGTTCGAGACCAGCCTGGCTAACATGATGAACCTCATCTTTTTTTTTTTTTTTTTTTTTTGAGTCGAGTTTTGCTTGTTACCCAGGCTGGAGTGCAATGGCACAATCTCGGCTCACTGCAACCTCCGCCTCCTGGGTTCAAGCAATTCTCTTGCCTCAGCCTCCTGAGTAGCTGGGACTACAGGTGCGCACCACCATGCCCAGCTAATTTTTGTATTTTTAGTAGAGACAGGGTTTCACCTTGTTGACCAGGATGGTCTCGATCTTTTGACCTCGTGATCCACCCACCTCGGCCTCTCAAAGTGCTGGGATTACAGCCGTGAGCCACCACGCCCGGCCTGAAACCTCATCTTTACTAAAAATACGAAAATTAGGCAGTCGTGGTAATGCCTGTAATCCCAGCTACTCTGGAGGCTGAGGTGGGAGAACTGTAATCCCAGCTACCTGGGAGGTGAAGCTTGCAATGAGTCGAGATCACGCCACTGCCCTCCAGCCTGGGAGACAGAGCCAGACTCCATCTCAAATAAATAAATAAATGGAAGAGGCAGAAGGTCCAGGCAGCATTCAAAACCTGGGCCAGTGTTCTTAGGATAACAGGATCGGAGCTCCTGAAGGCAGAGCTTCAGGAATAGATTGAAGAAGTCGTGACGGGGGCAGTGGCTCACGTCTTAATCCCAGGACTTTGGGAGGCCCAGGTGGGAAGAGTGCTTGGGCCCAGGAGTTCGAGACCAGCCTGGCCAACATGGTGAAACCCCATCTCTACTAACAGTATAAAAATTAGCTGGGCATGGTGGCACGTGTCTGTAGTCCCAGCTACTCAGGAGGCTGAGGCAGGAGAATCACTGGAACCCAGGAGACTGGAGGTTGCAGTGAGCTGAGATCGTGCCACTGCCCTCCAGTCAGCAACAGAGTGACTCTTTCTCAAAAACAAAAACAAAAACAAAATTTAAAAAAAAATAAATAAGGAATAGATTTAAGAAGTTGTGGCCAGCTGCAGTGGCTTACACCTGTAATCCCAGCACTTTGGGAGATTGAGGCAGGAGGATGGCTTGAGCCCAGGTGTTCGAGACCAGCCTGGGCAACACGGTGAAACCCCGTCTCTACGAAAAATGTAGTAATAATAATAAGAAGAAGCTGGGTGTGGTGGCATGTGCCTGTAGTCCCAGCTACTGGGGAGGCTGAGGTGGGAGGATCACCTGAGCCCTGGAAGTTGAGGCTGCAGTGAGCCGTGGTCGTGCCACTGCACTCCAGCCTGGGGCAATGGGAGTGAGACCCTGTCTCAAAAAAAAAAAGTCATCTTCATTTTTGTAACCCAATCACAAATCTTAGCACAAAAATGGTTTGGGTAAGTATTTTGTTGACTTTAACTGTTAAATCACCCAGAGATTCTTGGGCACACCCTTCGTACAGGGAATCGGGACGAAGCGAACCCAGTCCCTGCCCAGGGGAGCTGACAGACCAGCAGGGGAGATTACAATAAACAAACTATTGCCCAGTAATTATATCAGTTGCCCCTGGGACCAGGCTGCTAAGAGAGATGACTAAGTCTGGGAGGGCTTCCCAGAGGAGGTGGCTTTGATACTGAAATCCAGCAACAAATGGGACTAGCCAGAGAGTGACCTGAGAGTGTGGGAGTGTAGGGAGTTCTGGCAACGGGAACAGCCCAGGCAAAGGCCAGGAAGCTGCGTGAATTCAGTGTTCCTGAGCAGAGCAGGGTGTCAGGGATACAGGGAGCTGAGATTCATTTGATGGCATGGGTGGGGCCTTATGGGTCAAGGGAAGGAGATATAGATTGTGTCAGCTCAGTGGAGCCGCAGCTGACGTGCAGCAGGAAGTGCCAAGCAGAGGCTTAGCTGTATATTTTTCTCTCACTTCCTGGTGGCTTCGGCAGACAGTAATGCACCCTATGTTCCCATCCCTGGCCCAAGACTGAAGCCTCCATTCTCCGGGAGGTACAGTGAGTTTCTGCGTCTCTGTTTCCTCTAGTGTGATGGTTTCTGCAACGTTTTGAGAATGAGTAAGAGGATATTGGGGTGAGGCCTGAAGTGGTACCCTCAGCCCCAGAGAAGGACATGTTTCTATAAGGAACCCTGGGCCAGGCGTGACGGCTCATGCCTGTGATCCCAGCACTTTGAGAAGCGGAGTCAAGCGGATTGCCTGAGGTCAGGAGTTCGAGATTAGCCTGGCCAATATGGTGAAACCCTGTCTCTTCTACAGATACAAAAATCAGCTGGGTTTGGTGGCAGGCACCTGTAGTCCTAGCTACTCAGGAGGCTGAAGCAGGAGAATCGCTTGAACCCGGGAGGCAGAGGTTGCAGTGAGTTGAGATCACACCATCGCACTCCAGCCTGGGTGATAGAGTGAGACTCTGTCTCAAAAAATAAACAAAAATTTTTTTTAAAAAGGAAGTTCTGGCCAGGTGCAGGTGGCTCACGCCTATAATCCCAGCACTTTGGGAGACCGAGGCCAGAGGATCACGAGGTCAGGAGATCGAGACCATCCTGGTTAACACGGTGAAACCCCATCTCTACTAAAAATACAAAAAAAAAAAAAATTGTCGGGCATGGTGACAGCTACCTGTAATCCCAGCTACTTGGGAGGCTGAGGCAGGAGAATCATTTGAACCCAGGAGGCAGAGGTTGCAGTGAGTCTAGATCGTATCATTGCACTCCAGCCTCGGCAACAGAGTGAGACTCTGTCTCAAGGTCAGGGAACAGAACCCAGAACTTGCCAAAGAAAACTGGGGTGTGCCAGTGATGTAAACGCCCACATTTTTCTGCTGACGCAAAGTCCATACACACAGTGAAAGAACAGAATCAAATCAAAATGTAACTGGGAACAAAGTTCAACTCAGGGATAAAATATCCTCATTATATAAGTAACATCTAGAAAGCAGCCAGAAAATGCCAACCACGGAGGCGGATATGAATCCAGGAGTCAAATAAAATGGAAGACAGACAGCTCTTAAACTCAGAAAAAGGTCCGGAGCTTCACGTGCAAATGAGAATTAGGAGTGCAATGAAGCAGGCACGCGTGGTGGCTCACACCTGTAATCCCAGCACTTTGAGAGACCAAGGCGAGCAGATGACCTGAGGTCAGGAGTTCGAGACCAGCCTGGACAACATGGTGAAAACCCATCTCTACTAAAAAATACAAAAATTAGCCAGGTGTGGTGGCATGCGCCTGTAATTCCAGCTACGCGGGGGACTGAGGCAGCAGAATTGCTTGAGCCTGGGAGGCAGAGGTTGAAGTGAGCCAAGATCATGCTACTGCACTCCAGAGGCTGATAGAGTGAGACTTCTTCTCAAAAAATAAATAAATAAAAATTATAAAAATTTAGCCAGGAGTGGTGGTGGGCACCTGTCATTCCAGCTACTCGAGAGGCTGAGACAGGAGAATCGCTTGAACCCGGAAGGCGGAGGTTGCAGTGAGCCAAGATCGCGCCATTGCACTCCAGCCTGAGCGACAGTGAGACTCTGTCTCAACAAACAAACAAACAAACACCGGGTGCCGTGGCTCACTCCTGTAATCCTATCACTGTGGGAGGCTGAGACACGTGGATCACCTGAGGTGAGGAGTTCAAGACCAGCCTGGCCAATATGGCGAAACCCCATCTCTACTAAAAATACAAACAGTAGCTGGGCACCCCTGTAACCCCAGCTACTTGGGAGGCTGAGGAAGGAGAATCACTTGAACCCGGGAGGTGGAGGTTGCAGTGAGGTGAGATCACACCACTGCACTCCAGCCTGGGCAACAGAGCAAGACTCCACCTTGAAAAAAAAAAAGAAGGCCAAGGACCTGGGGTCTGGAGTGCATACAAGTGGGTGGCTTTGCAGTGTTTTGAGGACCTCGGGTCAGAATCCAAATCTTGGCAGATTTGGGCATCTTGGATGCAGCCCTGGGAAGGCGCTGTTGCCAGTGACTGAGATTAGGGAGGGCATGGGAAGGAGATCCAGCTGTGGCTTTGCCCAGGGTCCTGAATGAACAGACTGGTGCCTTCAGTGTCCCTGGGGAAAAGACGACAGGGAGGACGGGGCGCCCTTGGGCTGCTCTGCCAACCAGGAACTCCTCCGCTGGACCCCACCGAATGGTGATGACAGGCAGAGGGTGGCCCAATACCAGCCTGCCCAGGTCAGATTCCTGCATGGCCTGAGGTGTAGGCAGAGGAATCCTGCCAGGCCAGCTGTGTCACTAGGAAACGGGGGACACGTCATCGTAAAAGAAAGAAAAATAATAAAGCTTATTATTACTATTATTTTTGAGAAGGAGTCTCACTCTGTTGCCCAGGCTGGAGTGCAAAGGCTCAATCTCGGCTCACTGCAACCTCTGCCTCCCAGATTCAAGCAATTCTCCTGCCTCAGCCTCCCAAGTAGCTGGGATTACAGGAGTGCACCACCATGGCCAGCTAATTTTTGTATTTTTAGTAGAGACGGGGTTTCATCATGTTCATCAGGCTGGTCTTGAACTCCTGACCTCAGGTGATCTGCCTACCTCAGCCTCCCTAAATGCTGGGATTACAGGCGTGAGCCACCGCCCCTGACCTATTTTTGTTGTCATTGTTATTGTTTGTTTTAATTAGGACAGTCTCATGCTATCACCCAGGCTGGAATGCAGCAGCATGATCTCGGCTCACTGCAATGTCCATCTCCTCTGTTCAAGTGATTCTCCTGCCTCAGCCTCCTGAATAGCTGGGATTACAGGTGTGTGTCACCGCACCCAGCTAATTTTTGTATTTGTAGTAGAGATGGGGT